GGAGGACTTGTAAAAAACCATCCAATTTTTCAACCGCTGGCCTATCCTCCCGATTCTGCTGGCCACCAGCCCCTTCAGCTGCATGCCCAGTATCATCCCGGCTCTGCGCAGGAATGGACAGCGGAACTGCTGCACCCACCGGTCCCACAGTAGCTCGGTTCGGCTGGCCATACATAACCCGGTCGTCCGCAGCTGCGAGCGGTCCCACCTCCAGTGTCGCTTCTGAGTGTAATCCAGTTCCGGGCTGTCCAGACGAGATCCAGAGGGACCATCGCCTTCTGCCTGGCGTTTACGGCTGATGCATTTTGATTGCTCCTTGGCGCCTTCCTGGAGAACCCAGAGCAAACGGCGAAGCATGACCACTGGAGGAAAGGCACTGGCTGCCCACTCATCCTCCGATATTACCTCCAGCGGTACAGGTTTCAGCTTGCTAACGACTGTATCCACAAAGAAGGTCCATAGCCTGGAGCCCGGATCTTGAATCCTCTGTATATACTGGATGAAGACAGACACCAAGTCCGTCTCCGCCAGCGCTACCGCCATGTCCGTACACCATTCCCTAAATTGAGATAGGTGCAAGCGTTTCGGTGCGGTGAAGGCCTCGTATGCAGCCGCGGAAATACCACCCCATCTGCTCATGGCGGCAATAACCCCTGATCACCTGGGCTTAAAAGTGCCTGACCTAAGGCCTTTTGTGCTTCGGCCACTAGCTCAGGTTGTAAATCAAGCACTGCCGCTGTCAGTAAATCCCGGAAAGCTGTTGTGTGTTCTCGAGTCGGTATGGGCCCAAGCTGCGGTTGAGCCAGCAGCAAGATATGGTCCACAGCCGCCGCTGCAGCATGCAATGGCAGTGTTTTCCTCAAGTTTGCTGCACACGCTGCTGCGGATGATGTACGTGGGTGCCAATCAGAGGGCACCTAGTAGGGTGACGATGATCTTTGCGGATGCCACCAACACCAAGGTTCCTGGCCGCTTCTTCGCAGCACGGTGGAATCCGGGATGCCTTGGCATCGATGCCTTCACACAATCCTGGGTCTCCACAAGAGAGGACCCACCCTCACTTCTCTACATGAATCCCCCCTTCTCCCAAGCTGGCCGGGTGCTGGCCAAAGTTCTCACGGACAAGCTGGACTGTATCATTATATTGCCTGTTTGGCCTAGGTGGTGGGTGGCCCTCTTACGTCGCTTGCCGGTGCGTGAGGTATGGCGTCTACCGCATCGGAAAGACCTGTTCCTGCCAAGGGCCCTGGCGGTACGAAGGCAGCCCCATGCACCCCGCTACCAGGTGTGTGTGTATATTGTCATCTGGTAGAAGAACATTTTGGACACTTCCCTTTCCCTCAACTCATCCAATACATGTGCGGGACCACCTGTTTTGCTTTCTCGCGACTTTAGGCCGGGTGGTTGGGGGGGGGAGGAGAAGGGGTGAAGGATTTGGGGGGATATAAAAGAGAGAAGGAGATGCACGCTGAGCACGGGTGGCTGGGGCGGTGAGGCGGGCAGCTCGGGATGGGAAACAGTGGAACACACTTTACATGCTGCCCTCGTTGCTGGTGTGCGCCCAGCTACTTTGGTTGTGTACGGTGGACGAGCGCTTTGGCTTCAGTTATGCCAATTTACTGGATACGGTAGTGGCGGTAGTGGCAGTAGTACTGGATATGGTAGCGGCGGTTGCTAAGGTTGTACCGGTCCAAGGAGTGGTGGAGTTTGTTTGTTCAGAGTGAGGAGAGGAGTGCGATAGGCATGGTGCTATTACAGAATTTATATGTACCGGTTAGGCAGTCGGAGCGTGTTGTTTGGCAGAAGCCAGGCCAAGTGTTAAGAGTGGGAGGCGGTCCAAACTTGAGTGCACCGCTTTCCCACCCAGTTCCGTGTTCAAACTTTCCCACCCACCGTGGTGCACTCATTTGTCCGCGCTATCACTATCACTCGTCACTACCCCGTGCTCCCGGATGTGCCGGGTTGGATCCAAGTACCGCCATAAGGTGCCCAAAGACTTCATTTGGGCTTTCACTAATAATTCACTGGGGGGCACACCCTGGTTAAAAGCATGCTGTAAACAACCACAACGGAAACTATGCACACTCTCACCTCCATACTGGCCACAACCGCTTAAGTGTTGTTTGAGGCGGTACCCCAAAGCCTCCGTTGAAAGTGGGGCTTCCTTGAATCGGCGCCCGTCGTTGTCCACGGGCCGGAAGAGGTAGTTGGTCACAGGAACTTGGTACGCTGAACATGTCGAAAGATACACCGATAGAGCACCCAAGGGACAGATCACGGGGTTACTGCTTCTCTCCACCATTTGCCCAGGCGATCGGACTCCTCGATACGTCTTCATTCCTAGCTTCGCGATTTGCAGGCGACAGGTGGAAGGGACTCGCCCGTCCACGCCAGGCATAGGAAGCGGAAGACTGTAGGTTTTCTGAGAGTAACGAAAGAAAACCAAGGTTTTCTGTGTATTTGCCGAGAGCGTACTCGGCTGTTCGTTGGTGGTACAGCGGGGCCGTACCGGTGAGAAAGTAGGGCAAGTCGCGGAGAGCGCGACGGAAAGAGCAATTTCGCGAGTTAATATAGTCAGTACTGACAGGTTTCCACTGCGTCGTCTGCCCATTACACCGCCCCGCGGCAGATAGCGCAGTCGGTAACCAGGCTCGCCTCCTCCCACGGAAGAAAGCACACTCTTCTGCTCGCAGGTACCCAAGCTCGACTCACGTCTATAAGCGGTAAGGCAACTACTCATGAAAACCTCTGAATGGACTCCGAACTTGATCAGGGTCCCGAAGATCGTCCACCCGAAGCTCTCCGCAGTCATGCCCACGCATGCTCGTGTATTTTCTGTCTGCTGTGGAGCACGAGCATGTGTGGCCATGACTGCGGAGAGCTTCGGATGGATGATCTTCGGGACCCTGATCAAGTTCGGAGTCCATTCAGAGGTCTTCCGCTTCCTATGCCCGGTGTGGACGGGTGAGTCCCTTCCACCTGTCGCCTGCAAATTGCGAAGCTAGGAACGAAGACGTATCAAGGAGGCAAATGGTGGAGAGAAGCAGTAACCCCGTGATCTGTCCCTTGGGTGCTCTATCAGTGTATCTTTCGACGTGTTCAGCATACCAAGTTCCTGTGACCGACTACCTCTTCCGGCCTGTGGACAACAATGGGCGCCGATTCAAGGAAGCCCCACTTTCAACGGAGGCTTTGGGGTACTGCCTCAAACAACACTTAAGCGGTTGTGGCCAGTATGGAGGTGAGAGTGTGCATAGTTTCCGTGGTGGTTGTTTACAGCATGCTTTTAACCAGGGTGTGCCCCCCAGTGAATTATTAGTGAAAGCCCAAATGAAGTCTTTGGGCACCTTATGGCGGTACTTGGATCCAACCTGGCACATCCGGGAGCACGGGGTAGTGACGAGTGATAGTGATAGCGCGGATGAATGAGTTCACCACGGTGGGTGGGAAAGTTTGAACACAGAACTGGGTGGGAAAGCGGTGCACTCAAGTTTGGACCGCCTCCCACTCTAACACTTGGCCTGGCTTCTGCCAAACAATGCGCTTCGACTGCCTAACCGGTACATATAAATTCTGTAATAGCACCACGCCTATCGCACTCCTCTCCTCACTCTGAACAAACAAACTCCACCACTCCTTGGACCTGTACAACCTTAGCAACCGCCACTACCGTATCCAGTACTTCTGAAATTGGCATGGCCAAGCTGGCAGGGTGCTGTACGCTATGTTGCTGGCACTAAGGGTGACAGGTAGTGTGTCCTCTGAAAAGTCAGGATTTTTTTCAGAAATCTTGCATGGTTACTGTGACTCCAACTATGCAGGTTGTGGTGATACGAGGCGCTCCATTACTAGCTATGGCGGTGGCGCTGTGAGCTGGTCGAGCCGTCTGCAGCCAACACTTGATCGACTGCAGATCGCGGCTGAGTGCATATCAAGTGGATCTGTGGCGTAGGAGGCGCTATGGTTCCGTCAACTCGCGTGTGATTTGAAGCTGCGTGGCTCATGTGTACCGATTTGGTGTGACAACCAGGCGGCGCTGAAGATGGTTGAAAATTCGATCACCACTGCCCGGTCGAAGCACCTCGACGTGCTGCACCACTTTGTTCGTGAGAGCACTGTGCATAGGAAGGTTGAGTTCCACTATGGCAAGTCGGAGGAGATGGTGGCGGATGTGTTCACCCAGCCGCCGCTGCCGCCATTCCCAGTTTTCCAAGCGATGGGTGTCTGCTGAACTGAAACGCTGTTGCCTGTGGAAGATTCTCATCCTGAAGTCCTGAACCCCGGGATTGTGGCTGGTCTCTGGCAGGGTGTTGTGAGGTGAAGCGAGGTCTGCCCGTGTGGGAGTGTTGTTTGACATTCAAGTAACTTAGGTATTTCGGTCAGACCTTTCCAGTTGTTGTTCTACGTCTTGTCCATACAATAGCGATTTATGCGACATTTACATCTTCACCTGCGTGTGGCAGAGGAAGCATTCCTCAGTTGCGTAACAGAATGTGCAAGTGAGGCTGTGGCAAACGGCTCTACAGCGGAGAGTACTAGGAGTTCACAGCTCAAAAATTACGACAATCGTGTCATTTGATGTATGTAACGATGATCGTGGTTATTTGGCGCCGCGTCCTGGCAAGATCCTCCACAGAAGGCCCGAACGATCCAACGAATGCCCGCCAATGCTGACCGAATCCTTCCGGCTAAATACCTTCGTGGCGCGTTATACGGGCTGCTACTTTGCATAAATAGTTGGTGTTCGTAGCATCAAGGCAGGGCGCTGTTGTTCCTTGTTGCCTTGGAACTGCCTTGGATGATCGACATGAATAGCTTGAAGGCCGAGGCCATTTGCGTCAGCGCCGTACATGAAATATCCCCACAAGGCCATTTTTAAGAAGCTCTCATACCATAACATGCTCTAAAGTTGACAATCAGGAATCGAGAAGTAAATCATTTGCATCTCTCACATACTTTCCGTCCCTTGGGTCACTCCTAGTAATAAGTTGTAAAACCAAATGACCACCCCAATCTCGAGAAAAGCAGAGAAGGCTGGAGAGGATACGGCGAAGGTTGCTAAGGTGAGTTGGGAATCCTTGTTTTCGGTCGTGGGTCTGCAACACGTTTGCGCGTTTGTTTGATGTTCTGGCACAATCCATGCGCACGTCAGCGCGATATTATGCAAGTGCAAGGCTGCTGGGGTGGAGCTAAGGACTTCTGTATCGTCTCTTTTATCCCCTTGGACAAGGGATGCAACGCGGACTTAAGCCCAGGCCGTTTCGGCAGTTGCGACATCGCCACCTAGTGCGATCTCCCTACCTCTTTTTGCTTTGCAGGAGAAGACAGATCGCATCCGCACCCGCGTCGAAACCGATGAGGACTTCCGTCGCAAGCTCATCATTGGAGGCGTGTCGGCGCTAGGGGCGGTCGCGTTAGGCGTTGGCGGCTACGTCATTTTTAAGCGCCGAGGTGCGCCTTTGGGGACGCTGGCTGTTTCAGCGAGCTATATGTTTCGATTTAAAGCTACGAGTATGTTTGGATAAGGCTTATAGTTCCTTTACCCTGTGTATATGAGGTTTTCATTGAAGGTGTACTCGCATGCGCATAAGCGCAGCCTGTCTTGCCTTGATTTATTGCAGCTGTCCCGGGCAGATGGGTAGATGGGCGTAAGAGAAAAGTAGTGCGCAGGTTTATTAAAGTGCCTAATCCGCTTGGCTGATACTAATCCTGTGAACTTTGCCCTCACCGTCTCCATAGGGTATGTGGCTTCTTGTAGGTGCCGGTCCTTATCCATATCTTGGCGCTGGTGTATTACAGACAGACAGATTATGTATTCCTGACTGTTCATGCGAACACAGCGGACTATGCGACGGATTATGCAGCATGCGCTGAAAGAATTTCTTGGCATGCTCCGAAACCCGTGCCGAGAAAGCAAGTCCCTCTGCCCCCTGCGCTTTGACTGTTACCTTGTCTCCGTAGACGACATCAAGAAATCTCTCAAGGACGCCCGGGACACTATCAAGGAAAAGATCGAGCACCATGGCACCAAGCCGGGTCCCGCTGGAGGCGCAACAGGCGGTACTCAGCATTAATCGGCAATGGAGCGGCAATGGATGCATTCCAACCCCACGACCGCTGCCGCAAGCATTGTGAAGCATATGCATGGCTGGCGGGGTAGGTTGTTGCGCAACTCACACTGAGGGCATGCAGGATAGCCCCGAGGTGTTTGGCCCTGCTCGATAGAAGTGGGGGTTGAAGACGAGCATGCAGATTGTGCTGTGTGCATGGCTAAGGCAAGCGGCTACAAGATGTGTGGTGGTGGTGGTTTATCATTCAAATTACGGGTTTGCTGTTTGCGGAAAAAAAGGAAACGGAGGTTGAGGTGTTAATATGCGTATGACGGGCCCTGGGTTTGGGTTTGTATCGGGCAAGGATATGTGAAGAGGGGAAATGTGGTGTCCGTGTCCTGGAAAAGTGTGGGGATGCGTCAAACAGGTTACAGGTCGCAACTTTTTAAGGTGTGATTTGGAAAATGTACAACGGAAGCGTATGGGTATCTAAGGAAAGGAGCCAGTGACACGGTCCATACGCGTCGATTAAACCAGAGTTGTGTTGTACCCGACGTGCGTTATGTCTTCAAATTCACGGCCTGATATATGATGCTAGTATGTGCAGCATGGAGTCGGGCAGATGATGACAGGAAACTGAAGAAAATTCTGCACTCCAGAATGGTTCCGTTATCCAGGGCAATGGGTAGAAACGTGTATAAAAGTGTGAAATATGCGCCGTTTGGTGAAGTTAGTGTTGTGGTGGAGCCGGTATGACTTAACCCTTGATACTTTGCCTCTACACTGCAAGCCAGATCAGGGTTGTGGTACCCCATCGCCACAGCCGACACATCAGCACAAAACGAAAGGATTGCGAGACGTAGCGGAAATAAGCTGTGACAGCATCGACAGTCAACCTCTTACCATCACTTAACCTACACCCGCCCTATCACGCCACCACAAAACATCTGCAGCCTCCACTGTGTGCAGACTCCACTGTGGGTTGACAAAAACGCCAGCCAACGCTTTTAAAAAGAGTCGGTATATATAACTCCAGCAAAAACTTTGCGCGGCTCACCGTAGCCTTCGCATTCTGGCTTTGTACGAACAGTTTCATTCGGGTCGCTCGTACCCTGCATCACGTTTTTGCGAGGGACTGCCTAAAAACTCCAGCCAAAGCGCTGATGTGCAAGCTTTGGACTATCGACATCCCTGGACCGCCTCCATAATATCAGGTACCCTTCACCTTGGCGCGCACGCATGAAGAGCGTGAAGGTAACAACCTTCACCCTTGCCGGTATGGCGCGCATTAGGCAGGTACATCTGCAGCCACGGCACAGGACGTCCTAATCCTCGCCTGCGCCACGAGTAGGCAAACATATAGCGCCGTAATTCCCCTGGCACACTCCAACTTCTGGGCGATAAATGAGCGGTCCATGCACCGATGTGAGCGGTGGGTTGGCGTGCGGCTACACCTTGGTAGGGTCGTCCAGGCCCTGCTCGTCCTGCATTCCGCGCAAAAGTATGAGCACGAAGATCAACCAAACCACCACTAAGCCGATTAGATCGTGACAGCGGTCGGCGGGATTTACTTGCGCTACGGTGCAACCCCCTCCTAAGTTAGGGCCGGACGGTGACAGCCTCGCAGCTGTACCCGCCGGCAGCTGTACTCGCCTACTCATTCACTTACCAGGAACTTATGAATCTCCGCCAGAATCTCCGAAAAGCCGTCCACGAAGGCCTTAAGCTCCGACATGACGTCGGGGCCCTCACCCACCTTGGACATGAACTGCTCGCGGCTTGGAACAAACTTGAATGCCAGCTGCGCAAGCAGCCGCACCAGGAGTGGGGACCGGGGTTACGGAGAAACAAGCAGGGCATCAGCTTCCTGGATAAAGGGCCCAGGCTCCCTTGCAGTCTCCACAGGCGTGCTTTTTGACCATGGCGGCGAGTTAAGTTATAAATAAAAAAGCGTCTGAGTCATATCATCGTGGATGCAATACGGAGGCTGACGCCCACACCTAGGAAAGCTTGTATAGGAAGAGGCTTCCAAAGCACCCGTGTGGAAAAAGGTCAGTTCCCAGGGTCGATTCCTTCCACATGGGTACCAGCTCAGTAGCAGCATGTGTGCCATGTGGGGTGTCCCGGTGTACGGGCCCTCTTTCGGTTGTGCACCCACATACGCACCCACATACGCACGGGGACCGAATTCACATCAATGGGTTTGGGTGCCGCACAGGAGGGACTTATATATGTATGTTACGTGAGCCGAAGCAATAGCCAGGATGTAAGATTGGATTCGGTATGGTCGGCCCGAAAGCGCCGCCCTGCCCCACACACCGAGAAAGCGCTGGACGTGAAGAAGCCGTGGTACTGCATCAGCGTCTGGCTGTAGGTCTCCGCCACGATGGTGCTCAGTTGTGCAGTTGGGTCATCGTGGAGGCGCCGCAGGATAGCGCAGATGAACTGCATCGCCCTGGGGTTGGGTGCACCACCCGCCAACAAAGAAAGAGAAAGAGCCGCAAGGCCGAGGGCAAGGACAGTGAGTGTGAACAATGGTGGGAAATCGAAAGAGGTGCATATCTGCTCTTTGCCCATGTTGTGCCGTCATCGTGCCACTACGTGTATACATTCAACTCGAGATACGTGGGTTGGGTTGGAGTTGAGCACCCCGCCAGCTGATATTACAGGAATGGTTGACATTTCATTCAAGGAGCTCGCCATGTCTGGCGCGACAGGATCCGTCGCCAGGTGCACACCTCTCCTCATCCCCTCGCCATGACCCAAGGACACAAAGGTGCTCACCGTTTGAGCCACAGCAGGCCCTTGGTACATGAAGAGCCCCCGTTATGGGTATTGTCAACCACCTCATCCGTTACGATTGTGAACAAACGGGCATATCGATCGGGATCTTTAGCTGCACGCTGAGACAGACGCTGCAGAAAGGGCCATGGGCGCAAATGTAGGGGGGGAAATACACGTGCTCTCAACCACCGCATGCCCCTCGGGGGAGCCCGGAAATCGCACCTCAATATTACCTCCTATATCAGCCTTCACGAGGCCGAAGGCTGTGCCAAGCTTGTCTGTGGGGTACCATGTAACTCAATGGAGGGTAACTCCAACCGTACCAGATGTTTGCCTGTTATTCTTACCAACAACAGGTAGGGCCTGTCGACACACGTCAAGGAATTGCTGGGTTTGTATGAATCCGTCCGCTCCTTTCACTCCAGGCAAAAGATTTGCAGCCTGGCCAAAAGCCGAAGACATTTGGCTATAAGTTATGTTGATATCCGATTAAAATGTATCCAGTATCTCTTCTAAAGGTATCGCCAAATGCCAGGTGGAAAGTTAACGACCTGATGTGACAAAGTAATGAGCGCTGTGGGCTATCGATACCTATAGAGCCGAGCTCCTTGCAATAGAGCAGTATATTGGCCGTTATTGGACAGTTTGCAGCTCAAGACACGACACATGTTACCGTCGTACAGTTACGGTTTCCCGTAGCCCGACAGCACGCGGTAACAAAACAACGGGGGGGATGATGTCCATCGCTACGTAGAATAAACTATGAGCCTTTACATTGTTCAATGCGGGCCTTCGGCTGAAAGGACACCGCAGATTTATTTCCCAGCTGTTCCAAGTGCCTGATGCAAGTTGCTGGTGCACTCGCGGGTACCGCCGGGCGATGCGGCGAAGCCTATAAATGCAGCATCACGGAAAGCGACGGAACGTGCCGGACACCCTCTTCCCATCCCCGCCTGGCCCCATCCAACCCAGCAGTCCGCATCGTTGTTTTCAAGACATATCTGCTACAATGGACCCAAACCGGTTACCTTACAATTTTACAAGCTCCGCACGAATGCGGTCAGCACTATATGAGGAAAACCATACCACGTACACTTTTAACCCTGGTAACCATAGACCCCTCACGAGCCAGTAATTCCTTGGGTCAGGCTAGGAGAAAATGCACCCGGAAGCTTAGACATACTACCAGTCCACCACAAACCTCCTTATAGCCATCTATCATCGCCTGCATCTCTCAACTGTCCAGATGCGGGATCACTCGGAGGCGTCTTGAAGGGTCTTCAACGGCTCATGGATATTACCAAAAGATGATCGCATGTTTCGCTGCCAGCCCTGAGGAAAGAAGGATGATATGGATTGCCGCCCGCCATGAAGCTCCAACGTCAAAAGACCAGGATTCCCTCACCTTTCCTTTCAAGTGAAAAAGACATATCCAAATCATGATAAAGGACGCGGGGGATAAGAGTAATCTCCCAACGTACTTATCCTTGCTGGGAACCGTCGAAGGCAGCCGTGCGCATGCAACAACACGCCCTTCGGCCACCCGTACCACCGGGTCTCGGAGCCCCAGAGCCCATCCGGAGGTCCCAATCGAGGGAAATCAGCGCAGCCTCAGCCGACCCCAAAGATTAGCAAAAGCATCCAACCCATACGGTAATAACCTTTCCCGGTTCGTCTTCCTATTCTGGTAGAGACTCGAGCATCACAAAGGAGGAGAACAAGGCGGAAAGTCAAAGCAACGAGTTCACCTAGCAAGGAGGAAAACATTCCGGAAACGTATTACATGCGTATTGACGTGCAAAAGCCGCACCACCAAGACGGCAGCTAAGCTGCCAGAGGCTCTTCACACTCAGCGCACCCTACGGGAAAGAAGTTAATACTGCCAAGGATTTGGGATCCTCGGCTTCAAGGCGCTCGTCGGCACGCGTCTAGGCACACACGCGTCCGGGCACATACCCCGTGTTTGCAGTGTACACACAGGCGCTAAGTCGGCGCGTACATAGCCTATGTTCCAGCATACCTGCAAAGCATCCAGAACTCAGCCATCTAGCAGCTGCAGTTCCTCATCCAAATAGTATCCACAACCAATTTAAGAGTCCGGAGAATCACCATGACAGCTTGACGCGTGCAACCTGTTTGGGCTGCACTCGGGAATCACACAACTCGTGCATGCGCTACTGCAACGCGGCTCCATCCCATGACCGCGACCGCTTGGAGGTGGATGCACGAACTTTTGACCATATTGCCAGCGGTCAGGCCAAGAGCCACCTCCAATAGGCTAAATGCACCATATTGCATTCCCTCGGGTCACAGAGACACCACTTTAATGACCTACCGACCGTCCAACAGCTAAGGAAAAGCGCACAGACGTACAACCTAACGATACTTCTCTACCACACCAACAATACAACGCTGGCCAGCTAGAGGGGGCCGACGTCCGGACAGCTGAGGGAGGACACATGCCCCACTTGTTGCACCTCCACATGCTTATTAGCGCCGCGCGCTGTTCCTGCAGCTTTCGTCTCACCTCGAACATATACTGCGGATCAAGGACATAGAAACAATACGCGCGAGCCAGGAACAAACCATGTCCAACCGATGTCTAGTAGTAGTCACCGCCCTAAGAAAGCACGTCACTGCACGCCCAATATAAACTTTACGCCCGCCGCCACTGTCGCCGGCACACTGTAGTCGCACACTCGTCCACCACATGCATAAAACCTTTTCCTCCTGCTGCTGGTGCTGATGCTGGTGGTGGTGCTGGTGGTGCTGGTGGTGCTGGTGGTGGTGCTGGTGGTGCTGTCGCCCACTTCACTGGTAAAAGTATGCCACGCTGACCAGACAGTACAGTGCGATCAGCTGCACCCCCAGCAGCCAGTGCGAGGTGGCATCCGCGGTGACGAAGTTCTGTAGCGACACAGACAGATGCGGAGCGGCACGGAGGGAGGGAGGTGTGCAGAGAGGTGAGCTACGTAGGAAATATTAGGCAAACAGTGTAAATAGAGCACTCGGGTGGCAGACAGGTGGTCCGACAGACAGGTGGCGCCCACGCGTCGTAGAGTTGTGGCGTTATAGCTCCGATGAGGAATGAAATTGTGTAGCATTCTGCAAGTCATTGGCCAGGACCATCGTCCCTGGACCAATGGGGCAACAGTGCTGCGTACAGTTCAAGAGAAGGCAGCACCGCGACGAGCGCGGCGGCTTGAGGGATCCCCTTCCATCCGAAAGGGGTTCCAAGGGATCGCGCCATGAAATGTGGTGCTTTGCGGTGCAGTGTGTGTCTGGCACATACACGAGAAGGGGCCGCACGCGGGCCTGGATGTGCACTCGCTGCCATGAGCTCTGCCTGGAGAACCGAACAGGGCCCCCCGGGTTACCTTACCCCGGGTTACCTGCACCGACTTGGAACAAGAGGACGCGGGGGCCAAGGGCAAAGCCAGTGTGTGGACGAAATCAATTACGTGCACGGCGCCAATTGCCAACAGTCAGACGCATGTGTACGCCGATGGGCGGGTGGATGGATGGATGGAAGGATGGGAGCATGGACGCATCTGGGCGCGCGGCCGCAGCGGTGGGTGGCTCACCGCGTGCACCACGCACACCAGCAGCACCAACGCCGCGAACGGCGAGAAGGCCAGAGAGAAGGGGTGGCCAGTGGCCCAGCCCACGACCACGTTGAAAGGTATAGCGAACAGCGCGATCTGGATGGAGGAGCCCACTGCCACGCCCATGGAGCTGCACACGGGGGGCCACGAGGGAGACACGGACAAGGGCAAGGGCAAGGGCGGGAGAGGGAAGTTGGGAACGCCAGGTGGTGGCACTGCCATCATCACCGGAAGCCGCGCAGGCCTCTGCCTAAAAGCTCGGCTCATCCCCCTGGACTGCTGCTGGGTCCGGAACCCTCATGCCACTGCAGCAGCTGCTGCTGCTGCTAGACTTTGGACGCCACTCGGTCCTTTTGGGGTGAATAAGTGAAGAAGCTGTGCAACCTGTCAGAACACGGCGGCACGCAGGACCAGCACCGTCCAGTGCCATGTCCAGTGCCAAAACAGGCTTAGGTATGGCGACCCTGGCATATGCGCCTCAGGAATGCGCTCCCCGGGCAACCGGGGGCCGTCAACACACGCAAGCAACCGAAGCACACACGCACACTCACGCATAGGCCATCACAGCACAACACGGCGCAGCATACGTGCATCGGAGCACATCACGTCAAAGCACAACCATGGGCCGATGGGGCCCCTCCGCCACTCTTCCCAGCGCCGCCACTCACAGGTCCATCTTGTTGCGCATCGCAACAATACATGCCGTCAAGTGCTCGCAGGCGTTGCCAGCGATGGGCAGGATGATCAAACCTGCGGGGCCAGGTGGCAACGCGAACAGCCAAGTGGCGATGGAAGCCCTTCGCCTCGAAGAAATCATCGGCGGTCTGGTCTGGTGACACAACTGCATTCAGTATTAAAGATCCTGGGTTCGATTCCTGGACAAATCCCCGAACTTGATTGGTGATTATCAGTCACGGCTAGCTACTAAGTGGGGTGTTGAGGTCTAGTTGATGGAACAAGTTCCGAACGCCGGATTGGTGGTGATGGCTGATCTGTCTCTACGGATGTTGGGTGACTGGACGAGGAGTCGTCAAGTCGGCAGGACCCAGACCGCCTTCGACACTCCGTTCATACGGCGGACTTATGTAGTCCATGGCCCCCGGGCTTTGACGGACACCCCGCATTCGTGTAACTTGTAATAAGTTCTGGAGAGACGAGATCCACGCCGAGTCTGTGTACGCAGCTAACAGGCAAACCACACACCCCAGCCGCGAGCTCTCTCCCTCCCTCCCAATTTCACACTCCCGGACTCCGCACCCCCTCACCCTCCGCTCCCCCCTCCCTCGCTCACCTATGAAGGCCTGGCTGAGGTGAGTTCGCTCGCTGACCTTCTCAATGGAGCCGGTGAGGAACTCGGAGCACACGGCCACCACCGCGGTGATGGCGGTGAGCAAGCCGATGGAGGTGCCCAGGGTCAGCATGGGGACCGCGTCGTCGTCGTCGCCCTTGAACAGCTCGGTGTGGGTCTTGAGCTGGAAGACCAGGTAGCACATGTAGCTGCGTGCGGGGCGCCAAACACACGTGCACAGCACAGCACAGCACACATATGTATGTATGTATGTATACATATGTATGTATGTATGTATGTATGTATGTATGTATGTATGTATATATATACGCAATATATATATACATACATATATACCTACAGAGATCATACGTAAGGAAACGCACGATTTTGCAAACAAAGTGTTGGTTTCTTGTACTACAGACGCACGCGGTCCACCGCATCCACGCACGTACAGATTACATGTAATTCCATGCTCGGCCTCGGCCCCCATGCATGGCAGTGAAGTCCCGGACCCCCACGCAGCCAAGCAATCTGCATGCATGCATCCAAGCAGGTCGGCGATGTGCTGGCAATATGCAACAGGGAGCTGCTCACCAGACGAGCATGACGACCGCTGTTCCCCGGGACACATCCAGGGTCCAGTCCTCCCTCAGGGTGGGATCCTCCACCAGGATCATGGAGGCTGCGGAGGGGATGCAAATGCCGATGCAGGCCAGCATCAGCAGCGAGGAGCAGGCTCGATTGCTGACGGCGTTGAAGGTCTGGACGCTGTGGAACAAGCCGCCGAGGAAGAAGCTGCAGCCTGGACACGTGCAAAGGAGCGACATACATACATACATAAACGTCGGAATAATGGAAATGCGGGAGCCAAACATAACACGTCAGAGAGCCAGGACCAAGAAGATCAGTAGGGGGTTGGGCTAGGGGGGGGGAGCAGAAAGGCTTTCACCGTTTTCCGCGGCGGGTGGATGAGCCCCCTGCCCTTGTGTGGGTCCCATCATAACCAACATTGCATCGATGGTGTATAGCATCGAGTATAATGGATTCACTTCAAGACGCAGCTGATGATGCAGGCTGCTAGCTATGGACCGGTAGCCTTGCAGGCTAGGGGTGACGCGAGAGCGTATACACCTGCGCAAGAACAGCAACAAGAACCGCATCTGCAAAAGCCGCAACGCAACCCACACCACCTCTGGTTGAAACCCGCCGCCAGCTGTCGAGCCACACAGATCGCAGCTTCGGCCCAGAGGTTCTGTTACACACATGGGGCGGGGCATGGGGCCCTAACCGCGAAAAACTGCATGGTAAAGGCCCGCCTGACCCTGTAGCAGCCCACCCACCCAGCACGAGCAGGAGGTTGGACAAAATGGATCCCAGCAGCGAGGCCGCCACCACCGTGTACAGGTTCTTGAAAAGGGCGAACAGCGACACCATAATTTCCACCACATTGCCGAATGTCGCGTTGATTAGTCCGCCCGCCACGTCACCGAAGCGCACGGCTAGGTCCTGCGGAGGCGGGAGACGATTGGCGCCGTCTGTAGACCCATAGCACTTTTTATATGCCTTCGCAGTGAAGGGCCCTAGGTTTCGCATTGCGTTAGCTCCACACTGGGGTCCGTTCGCTGGTGCGTTGTGACCCGGGGGTCGGTCAGGCGGTACTGTCGTGCGCGAATTCAGACAATGGACAAGACATAACGGAAACGTTCAGGCTCTTGCGTGGCCGCGTGATGCCGACAGAGAGTTGCCGACACCAAAATGAAATTCTTCATCACTAACCTGACTGCGTATCGTACTTACTTCTGTGATGTCGCCGAGGATAAGGGCGAGGGGAATGAGAGATAGGAAGTTCTGCGGCACCCGGCAAGGAAAGCGGTTTAATCGCCGTGACGTTGCAAATCATGTGCAAATTTTTCCGTGTCTTGGGGTTGCTTGCTGAAAAATGAAGCCCGCTTTGTCCGTGAGCGAGCTGTCGCAAAGATTAAATCTGAAATGCTGGTCGCCCAACTGGAACTTAAGATACAGGGTACAGGTACACATTTTGCTGGTAAAAATGTGAATTCCTCACCAGGGTAAAGGTTGGAATGGCGCCCCAATCAAGGACTGCTGAGGCCCAGCCCAGGGGAACACAGATCAGTAGTAAGTTAAACCAGCTGGACAATATTATCTCCTTTGTCGCGAGGTAGTCTCGTACGAACCATTTGGGCGCAGCCGAGAGTACTGAAACTCGGGATAACGTTCTGTCCACTCCTGTCGCCGATGCACGGCCACGCCCTATCGAAGCCGCTGAAGCCCGGGCGAACTGTCCTGCTCCGTCAGCAAGGCCAACCTCTGCAACCAGATATACTCAGCAATATTCCCATTAGATGGTCATGATCGGTCTTAGTACCGGACTGCTGTTATATAGGAGAGATTTCAAACGCCGATATGCTTACGATTTGTGAGGAACGCCTCATCAAACTCTGCCTCGTCGAGCTCCGCAAGACGTTGGCGGGTTTCGGCCTTTACTACTGTAATGGCATTCCTCCTCTGTGCTGACATTTCCGATACTCCAAACTAACGTGACGAGCAAGCTCTCTGCATACGCACGGCAAACGTTGTTTTACCACGCCCCTACCTACAGGTCGGCAAATTATGAGGTATGATGCTTCAAGATAAATATTCTTAACCCGGCAAACCGAAGCTTAGATTCTTTTCCTAACGTCCAGTATCTTTTAGGTATTCATGCACGTGCCTGTATGCACTCCTAATTTGCGATTACAAATATTTGCGTATAGAGAAGCGGCTGCATATGGACTGGCAAGGTAGTTAGCAACAAAGACATTTAGCATTTGTGATGCCGAAGTACGTGAAAATGCCGGCGCCATGATGGGACATTTCTCATCAGCCCTTACTGCATAAAGCAATAACGATACAATCCACAGTTGTTGTAATATTTCGTTATTTATATGCTTATGCACATGTCACTTCCCTACTTTTGAGACAGTTTGCCAAACTAACTGACGTTCGTTACTCATCCGAAAGGCTGGTTGCAAATGACAACCTGTGTCAATCTTCGTGGGGCTTGTTATTCTCTATCTTGCGAATGCAATGTCCAAAAAGCGGGATGGAAAGCAGCGCGGACGAGGCTGCCATGGGTAGGGCTAATTCCATGCTTCCGAAAACTTCATATAATAATGATGAGCTAGGATTTAATAAAATTTATGTTCTGCAGGTCGGTCGATGGGTCGCGACAGCGGCCGTGGCCAGCGGCCCCGTGCCGCCGCCTCAGCAGCCGCCGACACTACCAGCTTCCGTCGCGCCCCCGCTCCCTGTGGGAATGGCCGCCGCAACGCAGCTCCTTGAGGCCATCCCGCGGGCGCGCACAGTGCGGGAGCTGCGTGAAGTTCAGCAGCACGGACAGGCGCAAGGTTACTTCACCACTGCCCACTCCGTTGCTACTATCATGCAGCTCGGCACCCTGGTGAGCGACCCACTGGTCTGCAGTCCCCAACCCTAGGAAGGAAGTCGCCAGGCTTCCCCTTAGCGCCCAACTCCTCCTCCACAACTCCGTCCTTAAACCCTTCCCCGCAAAACACCCACACAGGCGGCAACAACCCCTCTTTCCCCCGGCGAGAGGGACGCCGCGAGGCAACTTGCCACGCAGCTGCTGCGCCGCCTGCGGAGGCCCCAGCAGCAAAACCTGCCGCCAGCCCTCCGAGTGCACACGGAGCGAGCCGCATTACAGCTGGGCCTGGACCTGGACCTGCTGTCCTCAGAGGCCCCTCACCAGCAGCACCAGCAGCACCTCCACCACCACCAGGTCGCCAGTAGCACTGCTCCCACTCATGCCACACCCCATCCTCCACCCTCCTTGAGCACCCAGTCCCGGGGGCCACCAGATGCGCCACCAGATGCGCCAGCTAGCGCGCCAGGCGGGACCGCAGGCGGAGGTAATACCAGCGGAAGCCGGGGCCTGGGGCAGGAAGCCGGCGGTCAGGGAGGCGGCGCTGCAACGGGAATGGGAATGGGAGATGGCCAGGTGTCAGGTGCAATGAGGCAATCCACTCAGCAGCAGCAGCAGCGGGCAGCTGGGAGGGGTCAGAGGCGAGTGAAGCCGCCCGGGAAGCCCGTTGCGGAGTCGCAGCCCTCTACGCCGGGGCCTTCTCAGCAGCAGGGGCTGCAAAGGCAGCAAGTCCAGCAACAGCAACCACGGCAGCAATTACGGCGGCAGCAGCAGCAACAACAACCTCACCAGCAGCAACGACAGATTCAAGAGCGGCAACAACGACGGCAGCGGTCGGGAGATGCGGGTCTGGATGCCGCCGCGTCCTCCCGTACGCCCCACACTCATTCATCTGACCCAGTTGCAACTCTATCCCAACAGCACCAGGCACCGCCATCGGGCAGCATCTCGGGTTCAACCCCTGCGAACATCGGCGGCAACACAGCGAAGGGCCCGGCCGCCACCGCCGTCGCCGTCGCCGCCGCCGCTACTGCCGCTGCCACTGCCACGTCCTCCTCCGCCTCTGTCGCGACCGCAGCGCACCCTAACACCGCCGACACATTCCCGCCTCGACTGAGTCCCGATGGGCTGCGCGCCTCCACCGCCGACCCCGAACAGCCCGCTTGTCCCACACCAATTCAACTCAGCATCGCTGAGCCACGTAATGGCGGTCTATCCGTATCCGAAGCTGTTGCTGTTGCTGCTGTTGTCGCTCCAGCAGCTGCTGGCGCAGCATCTCCCGTTGTTGGGGAGGCGGCGAGCCTGAAGTTCCATGAAGCGTTGCATGTGGCTTGGAAAGCCTGGCGGGGGTCTTCTTCCGGAGACTGGTCGGCGGAGGCGGAGGTGGCTGGGGACCCAACTTGGAGAGATGAGGTAGAGGCGGCGCTCCAGGGGGCCCCTCCGGGGGAAATGGCGATTGGTGACCTGGCGGAGGCGGTGCACCTGATGGTGGGGCTGCGGCTGATGCCAAAGTACGACTGGCTGTGTGCGGTACAGGACCGTCTGCGGCTGGAGATGGCGGCGGTGGAGGGGGAGGTAGCAGCGGGGAGGGTTGGTGGCGGCGGAAGCGGAAGCGGCGAATTGGGTCAAGGCAGCGCAGCGGCGCTGGTGGGTGCGTACGCCGACGGTGCGGCGGCGATGTTGGCGGATCTCCGGCAGGTATACGAGGCGACGGAGGAGCTGATGCAGTTGTGCGTTGAGGCCGATGATGGGCGGCAGCGGCAGCGGCAGGCGCTGAGCGGCCGAGTGGGACCCGCTGCTGGCTGTAGCAGTGGCGGTAGTGTCGTCACCTCCGCCGCCAGCACCACTGTCTCCAACAGCACTGGCATTGGCCGCCATGAAAGCAGCAGCAGTAGCAGTAGCAGCAGCAGTAGCAGTAGCAGTAGCAGCAGTAGCAGCAGCAGTAGCAGCACCTTCACAGAGCACCAAGGCACCGGTACATCGGGGTCAGGTGGAAACACACAGGCCAGCCAAACCACCACCACCACCACTGCCACCAGCAGCAGTGGCAGCAGCACTAGCAGCTTCATCAGTAGCAGTGGCAACAACGCGGTTACTTCGACCGGCGGCAACAGTCCATGCAGCCAGCAGGGAGAACACGCAGCAGCAGCCGCAGCGGCACACGCGATGGTGCCCAACGCTGCTTCGGTCGCCCCGCCGCCCTCGGAGCCGTCCCCATCACCACATCGGAATTATGCACAGCAAGGAAAGGAGGAGCCGCATCGGGCCGTGCCACCATTGGAGGACACGCGAGGCGGACTGACGCGAGGCACGGAGCCAAGCACTGGTTTCGGAGGACTCGAAGACCTAGGACGGGGACGAACAGGAGGACAAAAGGCCGCGGAGGAGCTGCCAGGCAGCGGTGGGGGCGAGGAATCCGACGAGGCTCATGATAATGGCGGTGGGCCGGCGGCCGCCCTAGGACATCTCCGAGTGCTCCTAAGGCAGGCTGGCGGTGAGAGGGTGCCCGCTGCAGGAGGCCCGCTGGCAGCGCTGGGCAGCGTCGGTGATGACGGACGCGGAGATAGCGACTCGACGGACACCAATACCGCAGCACGCCGCGCGGTCGCGGATCTAACGTTGCTGCTGGCGGCGGCTCATCGAGCAGAGGTCGCTGCCGCCGGTCGTACGGCGACGGTGACCGCTGCAGCCAGCGCAGCGGAGCTCAGTTCGGCGGCGGAGTGCAGTGCGCCGGGGCTGACCGCGGAGCATGTGGCGGCGCTGGTCGCGGCAGCGCGGGCCGTACAGCCGGCAGGGCTGCCGTCGCAGCTGCTAGCGGCGGCGGCCAGGTTGCTCGTGGCCACCTCGCGCAGCGGAGTGACGTGCGTGCATGTGGCACTGGTGCTGGCGGCGTGTGTGGAGACTGGCTACACGCCGCCACCTCACCTTCTGGAGCAGCTTGTGACGCTGGCCTTTAAGACACAATCGCCGTTGCCGTTGGACGATAAAAAGCAACTGCCGTCGGACGCGACCAGGGACGGCGCAGCCGCCGCTACCCCTGCCGCTGTAGCGGCAGCGGCGGCGGCGGCAGCGGGACATGAGCAGCAGCCTGTCCTCGGCGCCGAGTTATCCGCCTCGTACATTCGGGCTCTGCACGAATGCGGTGTCGCGCAAAGGCGCCTGGGCTACCGACTAAATAACCGGCAGTTTGGGAACTGGGTGGATGCTGTGACGCGGCGGCCCTTGGCCCTCAGCCCCCCCCAGCTGGTGCAGCTGATGACGGCATGCACGGAGCGAGGCTATGCAGTACGACCCGCTGAGGTCGCCAGCGGCCTGATCGCCGCGGCCATTCAGCCGCCCGCCCGCCTGCAGCGCCTTTCCGGTAGTGAGGCGGTCGCGGTGGTGCAGTTTGCGGTTCAGCAGGGCCTGCAGCTGGGCGCCGACGGCAGTAGCAGCAGCAGCAGCACCGGCGGAGGCGGCGCTGCCCCCCCGGCGCTGCTACAGCACTTGGCGCCGAAGCGACTCCAGGAGTTGACCGCGACGGAGCTAGGAGTGTTGTTGCCGGCGCTGTGCGCCGCTGGCGCAGTGCTCGGCCGTACCGGCGGCTCTGCTGCCGCCACCGCTGCCACTACTACCTGGCTAGCCGACCACTCGTCTGCGCTATTGCCACATGCGGAGGCGCTACAGCCGGAGGAGGTTCTCCGGCTGTTGCGCTGCTACGACCAGCTGGACTACAGCCCACCGTCGCTGCTACTGCTAGGTTTCTCTCTGGCACTGGAGTCGCAGCTTGCCTCCGCTCCCTTGCTGACGCTGCTGCAGGCCCTGCACCTCCTCTTATGCGGGCGCCGTAGCTTCAAGCCCAACGAGGGCCTGGCGGCAGCTATCCACGAGCACCTCCTGCCGCGGCTGATGCTGGCGGCAACGGCGACGATGGCGCCGCCTCCGCCGTTGCTGCAGCAGCAGCTGGAGGGCAGCGGCGGCATGACGATGCCGCAGCGGCTTATGGTGCTGCAGGTGCTGGCGGCGGCGCGCGTGCGGCCGCACCCGGCCCAGCTGGCGGCGGTGTTGGAAGTGGAGATGTCGGGCGGTGCGGGGCTGATGGCAGGGCTAGCTGGGGACGAGTTGGTGGCGCTGCTGTGGCACTGCGTGGCTTTCCGTGCTCTGCCCTCCTGGCGCTTTATCGGCGAGTGGCTGGAGGCCTTCGCCGCCGCAGCAGGCAGCCGGGCCGCCGCTGAGCGCTCTGAAGCGCACGATGGCAGCGCCGCCGCCGCCGGCGCCAGTATCGGAAGCCAGGTCAGCGCGGGCGCGTTGGCTCGCGTTGGCTGGTGCTTGGCGCAGATGGGTTTGCAGCCGGACGCCGGGTGGCAGGCAGCGTACCAGGCGGCGCTGCTGCCGGTGCTTCCACGTCTAGACGGCGAGGCGCTGAGCCTGGTGGCTCATTCGTCGTTGTTGCTGCGCAGCCGGCCGTCGGAGGAATGGTTGGAGGCACTGATTCGGGCGGCGTTGGGGCGCCTTGAGGAGTTGGATGGGGCCTCCGCAACGCGGCTGCTGCACTTCATTGCTGCGGCGGATGTGCAGACGTCCCAGGACTGGATACAGGTAGCTGGGTGGTGTGGGCGGTGGTGGTGTGGGCGGTGGTGGCGTGGGCGGTGGCGTGGGCATCTGTTTCGGGTCGAGGGCTTAAGTGGTCCAAGCGGACTCGAGCACGCATTTGGCGGCAGCGCGGGTGGGGGCGACAAGAGCTGAGGAGGGAATGCGGCAGGGAGCTGAAGTACTGTGGGGGTGGGAAGACGCCATGTGTGTCAGGTCTGTGGCACCGGTGGAAGGAACACAACGTGTTGGAACCGTGGCCACCGCAATTGGACCGGCGCGGCGTTACCCACCCGTTGCACCCCGTTGAGCCCGAAGCCGAAGCCACCTCCGCCGGAAGCAGTAGCACCAGCCCACGTGTTCCATGCCCTCACGCCACCACCGGTGGTCACCAGTATCACCCTCCTCCCCTTCCCCTTCCCCCCCGCGGTCACCTGGCCACGGTCCTGGTCCTGGTGCTAGTCCTGGTCCTAGGTTGCGCCATGGCATTGGACTCCAGTAGCAGCAGCAGCAGCAACCCAGTGCTTGGGATGTAGGTCGGTAGTGGAACCCTTTCATTCTCGCGCCATCATCTGATTCTCCCCTCGACCCACCAGATACGCCGTACCTCACCCCCTTTAACCTCTGTCCCGGCCCCAATCCGAACACCCTCTCCGCACCCCCCAACACACACAGTCTTTCTTTTTGCATACGTTACATCTACTGGAGGGCCCTGCAGTGCCAGAGCCCCAGCCGTTAGCGCCGGTAGGGGGCGCCGCCGCCGCCACCGCCGCCGGTAGAGCTGCTGCTGCTGCTTCTGGGCCCGCAGCCAGTTCCGACCAGATAGCCCTCATGCTGCGGGCCCTTGCTCGTCTTGGTTTCCGTCCGCCGGAGGCCTGGCTGGCAGCGGCGCTGCAGCGACTCTGTACCGGAGCTCTCGCTCTCAGCCCCGCCTGCTTTCCTGTGGTGCTCATGTCGCTGGTGCGGCTATGTCCTGATCTGGTTTCGGAGGCGGAGCCGGGGGGCGTTGTGGACCAGCTGGTTCGGGCTGCGTATAAGAAGCGCGGCGCCTTCACCGCTCTGGAGCTTTGCTGGCTGTTAGAGGCGCTGGGGTGCTATCCGGCGTACGAGCTGCCGGCTGCGGCGGCGGAGAATCTGATGGCTGCGCTGCGGCGGCTGGAGGAGGGCCCGGGGGAGATAGAGACGGAGGCGGAGGGAAGCGGCGATGTGGCCCTTGCGCTAGGGGGTGATGTGAGCGGGTCCTGGCTGGCATGGTAGAGGGGGCTGCGGCAGGGGCGGACGGGTGAAGGTGTGAGGGCCCCTTTCCGTTCTGTGTTTGGCTGAGCAGCACAGCTACTCCCGGTTTCGCTGCTGCTGCTGCTTCTCCATTTGAGATGTCATGTTGCCGGATGTGTGTTGCCGGATTCGAGGATTACTGCTCGATAGGCGATTATGCGTACATGTTTTCGTGCGTATCAGTTCGTGAAGTTACTAGCAGTAATAAGTGTGGGGCATGCTGCTCCGCGGTTCTGCTGGCGTTTATGGCTATGGCTCCTTCCCTGGACAGGACTGCGGCGGACTGAGGCTTCCTCACCAGGACGTTCGTCCTCACCCATTGCAAAGGTGAAAGCAGCAGGTGACGGAATACCGTATTGCTGTGGTCCCCGTCATGAATGACCGTGTTACAGAGGTTTCGTTCGTGAACGATTATCCTGTGCTAACCGCATTTAGATACATGTATACATACATGCCAAGAGTCCTGGCAAGGCAAGCTGTGCCGTCTCGCAGAAACGGCGTGTGGTGCGGAGGGAGTAGGGAGGCGCAGGCGCGCGTTTGTTTCATTTCCTTTTCCTTGTTATTTATTTATTGGCTGCTCTTTCGCCTGGACTCTGCCCCAACAACACGCCTGGGTGTCAAAAATCTGTTCCTTTCCAAAAGCCTTAAAGCCTTAGGGAAAGTAATAGTCCCAAAACGCAGAGCCGGCGGCAGTAGCCGCCCCCTCACGTCCCATGAATGTCAGGTCTCATGTACTGCGCACGTGCAGCTCGCGCAGGGAAGCCACATAGCCCAATAGATCCGAGCGGCCCGCCCCGGTGCGTGAGCTGGTCTCGAAGCATCGCGGCAGTTCCTCCCACTCCTCCGCCATCTGCATCCGCGGCGCCAAAGGGAAGGGATGGGCGAGCTTCAGAATTAGGCTATGGGTTGTGATGGTGGTCGCCTATTTCCAACGTCAAGGCTGATTGCCAGAAACCAGATCAGATTGAGGCAAAGCAGAATACAAGCTTTTGCAGAGTGGGCCTGCATGGCACGAGGCATGTTATATACGGCGAAATGTCTCATACGGCAACGCAGTGCACAGATTTTACGGGAGTGGTCTACTTCAGGTTATCTCAGACTTCAAATTGTTCCTATGCGCGGGCCCTGATGGAACCCATTTGGGGGGAACACATGAGCCGGCCAGCGGTCAGAACAACAAGTAACATATACGATACACGATACCGAACTCCCGGCAGGACATGTTCAGGCATGCTTAATATTCTAGCTCTTCCGCTCCTTGCAAGTGCAATGCAAATCTATATGTGGGACATATTGAGCATAGGAACAAGACAAAGTTCAACTCACCAGCTGCTTAAAAGCCCGTATGTTCTGCGCGTTTGGAGGCATATCCCGCTTGCGGTTATCAATTTTGGTGAAAACTATGCAGAAGGGCACCTCGCACTCGGCCAGCCAGTTTGCACAGTCTTTGTCCACCTCCTGGGGTGGTACGCTGGAGTCAACAAGCAGCAACACGCTGACCAGGTTCTCGCGCTCGATGAAGTAGTCCTTAGTGAACTTGAGCCACTCTTCCTTACTTGACTTTCCCGCTTTGGCAAACCTGCATGCGCCAAATTGGGCTTGTGGACATCCCTTCCGTGAAGTCATCCTACCTTGCCATGGCAACGCACCCATATCCAGGCAAATCCACGAGATACCACGAGTCGTTAATGAGATAGTGGTTTATGAGCTTGGTCATGCCTGCAGAACGCCATACACGCGTTTAGCTGGTAGCGGTCTGTCGCAGCCGCTACATGGTGCTTACCAGGCTCTTTGGAAACCTTGGCCAGTTTGTCATTCCTTGTAAGGGAGTTAATAAGGGAAGACTTTCCAACATTCGACCTGCCTATCAGTGCAAATTCGGGCAACTTGTCTGGTGGACAGTCGGCGACTCGCGTGCTGCTCTTAATGAAGGCCGCATTGCGAATATTGCTATTAAGTGGAGGTGGCAGATCCAATTGCATGTACTTGAAACCATCGGAAGGCACCGCAGCGAGGCGGATGGCCGTTCGTAAGCGTCGGGCTGACGGCACGCGACTGCAAGCAAGGCCAAGGGCCTGGGGCGTAAGGGGCTGCACTGTGAACAAAGACATTTCTGTGCTGAAACACAGCAAATTATCCCTGCCATTAATGTATGACGGAAAAGTGTGCGGTTGCCCATGACACGTCGTACATAGTCGTACATCGCACAGTTAGCCTTGTGCCTTTGCAGTGATGGGTATCACACGCGCTCCTCACATGACAACACTCCATCCGATCGTATCGCCACTTCGGAATTCAACGAAAGGAAGCTTATGGAGGTCCCCTCCGAGCGCTCTCCAACCGGCCGCTCCTAGCAAGTTAATGATCCCGAGCAAAGCCGATGCAGTACACACGCGCAGCGCTTCCTGATGCGCCATGACGCGCATGCACTTGCATCTCTCACCACAGTGGATCCTTTCTCAGTTACGCCACCGGAAGCAAGATGAAATGAATGAATACCATGCAGACCATCCTCCTACTCCCACTATCATCCCATACACAAGCAGCAAGCGGCGAGAGTTTAAGATATCTGGCGGTCTGGTTTGTCAGTAGCAACCAGCCACAAGCCATGGCTGGTCATGGTTGCATCAGCTAGGTTACAAGTTGTTACAGGTTACAAGTTCTGCACAAATATGGTGTGGGGTCGGTAAATGCTGATTCACCCAGGCTCACGCCAGAGGCTTAGTCTCGACACCCACGGCCCCACGGACGGTGAATAGTCCTTGTTGTGGCGCGGAGTGAGGATGTTGAGATCCCCTCCCGCTCGCCTGGGCTCAGCGCGCCTGAGTGCGATGTGCCCCTTGCCACAGCTATAGGGGGATCACATATAAGCTAGGTGTTAGATCTCGTTCACTACGACATAAGTAATATGCCCCAACAGTCTTCGCGTTCCGTAGGGCCACGGATTGCTGTAGTACAAGACGTACCTTCGTACAGACGTACACGATGCGTAGACAGCGGTGTGACCGATCAGTCGGCACTGCCTCTCTTGCTTTAACACTCCTCACGTCTTATGCGGGCTTTTATACATCCAACTCTTATTCGCTCGCAATTATCACATCAAGTGCAAAGAGACACATGCTTGTCAAACGTCGGAAAGCACGCCGCGGCGGGCCAGGGTTTACATTGGTCGGACCCGCTTGCCGGGCGAGACGGAATCAACATGGCCAGATCACAACAACCTGGGCCGACCGCATGTCACCCGGCAGGCCGGCGGATTCCGTGGTCTGGGTTTCGCAACGTGTTTGGGGTTGGGGTACGTGCCGTTTGCATTACACGGAGTGGAGTATGTTGGGTTGGAGCCCATCTGTGCCCAAGGGACGTTAGCAACGTTGGGCGTAATTGTCACGGCCCCAGCTTACGTCCCTGCCCCCAGCGGAGGTACCGTGCTGGGACACAGCTGCTTGGAGGCGCGCGTTTTGCTACCATGGTACGACATGGCAAGACCCACCAAAAGGTGGTTTTAGGGTTTTAGGTTTTTTTACGCGCATCCCGCGTATGGAAGCGCGCGGCTAGGCCGTGGCTGAAGCACCAACATGTTCAATTTACAGCAGTACTATGCTGCACGTATGGCTGACCCTGTCCGATCCACAGCAGCAGGAAGTTACGTAACGACCACCTGCCAAATACGGTCAAACGCACGACCCATGAGGGATCACGAGACCACCATACCTGCGTGTTTGCATTCGACCTGCGGTACCGGCCCTCTCTATGCAAGCAGCTCCTCTTATTACCAAGGTCGAGGCGGAAAAAATGAGGGCTTTCCTTCACTCCTCACGCCTATGCCTTTAAACAAACAGTAACTACCCTGAGCGAGGTCCGATTGCTCTTCAGCAACCCAATGCAGTACGTACCGTCAGCGCTCCCTGGCGCTCCCAGAGACCCACATGCTCATCCCCATGCACCTAGAACTGCACCGAGTCCATCACAGCGCGGCATCGATAAATGGAAAAAATGCCACCCATGCTATATACTTGACGATGAATCATTCCATCCCCTCCCCCATACTCCCACATGCAAGAGCAAGCGGCGACTCAGAGTGATAGGTAGCTTCACGCCTGGACCATGGGCTTGTCCTCATGCAGGTAGTCCCTGTACTCCGCTGGCAGCGGTGGATCCCCGTCCAGCGCACAACCCTTTCGGAACGGGCATTGCGTGTACAGCCCCTGCAAGACCTTCAGGTTCACCAGCCTCACATAGTTTTCGAGCAACTCGAGGAACTTGCCAGGCCCGTTACCCCAGCCAGCTCCCCACCGGGCCATGTACACAGATGAAGCAATATTCTGTTGGCGGCCCCAGCACCGCACACCAGTCTCTGTCTTGTGTGTGCCACCCGGATCAGAGGGATCGTTGGACATTTTGGATATGAGGGGCATGTAGGCCACATGGTAACCTGCGCCGCAGAAAATCACGCTGTCACTGGTAACTCACACAGCAGCAGTGGTCAACCATCGAAACATCTCAACAGTGGGATTGAAAAAGCATAGCCTTAAAAGTGCATTAAGAAAGCGAGCCCCAAAGCCTGTCAAATCGCAAGGTTACCCGCTTCGAGTGCTGTGTATGCATATGTGAGCCCATATGCAAACTGGTATGTGCGATGGACAGCGATTCTTGCAAGGGGACCCCGGCAGGTACCGCGATGCGGTGGGGCCGGTATGGGGCTCAGCATCTTGACACAGTCGAAATAACCCAACCGGGCGCCTACCCCTCCCAACCCCCAGCAGCACAGCCCTGGCGGATGCTGCGCCCCTACGATAACATGCCCCCTTTGGGGCGCCAGACTGGGCCAGTCGGGCCAAGCCCACCTTACCTGCTACCCAGAATCGAATGGAGAGCTCCCAGTCCGACCAAATGCCGCACTCGCCTGCAGTCAGCCAGTTCCCAATTGCAGCGTTCATCACCACGTCACGATAACTAGATGCGTATCCAATGGGCATACATGGAATCCATGCTCGTCACCGCTTACAAAGAACCGCACAGCGAAATCATGCAGTATGATAAGGGATGCTGACAATGCCTTCCCCCCCATTTTGATGAGTTGGTTCCGGAACATCTCACGGTTGGTGGTGGCCTATCAAACAGCTCACCAAGGTGTATCTGATGAAGCCTTTCATCCCGACAAAGCACTTCCCTGTCCCAGTACCCCCCTCCAGATCTGTGGGAAACATGGCCTTGGGCGAAACTGTTTCAACATGGGCCCTTTACGACGAGGGGTCAATTACCCTAAGTCCACTTGAAGAGCTTCATCGGCGACTCCCATGCATTTGACCCACACAGGCGGAACGTGTCGGTGTGGCCCCGGCAACGCAGTGGGGCTGCGGGCCTATGTGCCACTCCCTGTCGCAAACGTTTGAGCTCGGACCCACCTGGGTCGGACATGCCCTCGTCCAGGCCGCCCACCGCCTTGAATGCCGAGCGCCTAATGGCCAACGGTGCCAAGTCCACCTAATTAAAGGGCCACAGTGATGCAGCAGGTACACAGGCTTGGTTCCCAATCCGCTTCCTGGACCCTGGTCAAGCTGCTTGCCCACTTCTGCACTCTCTCTGGTTGGGCTGAGGCTCCCCGGAACCCGTAAATCCCTTGGTCTTTCCCTGGAGCTGTTCTACTCAGCTATCCCAGGCACTACCATGCTGCTGGCATTACACAGCAAGTAAGCAAGGGTCAGTTTGGATAGTGTCTGCCAAATGGTGACTCTGCGGTATGGAAATGAAGGCTCGACTACTCACAATACTGCGCTTTGAAGGAACGCCAGAAGAGATACAAGTAGTCTGGGCGCAGCTGGGGCTTGGACCCAAATCGTACTATGTAAACGATAACACGTGCCCTACCCGACAAGCTTTTCCTGCACAGCGACTGTTCGCCTTGCCCCGTGCCGTGCAGTGATACGACAGGTCGTGGACCTATTGCTTGTTTCGTTACAACAATAATAACACAGAAAACACAAAGCCATAAGCATTGTGTTTCCGTTGTGCGGTGGCCCAGGGGTGGGTCGCGACCTGGGCCGCCGTTAGGTAACGGTCACAAGGCTGATGTTACCTCGCAACCCACTCTTGCTTTGGCAAGCTTTAGAATAGAAGTAAACTTTTTTATGGGAGTTGCAACCGCCGAAAAAGGTTGAAAAGGCACGAGGTGTCATGGAAAAACTCCGATGCTCCATGACTCCAATTTCCTCGCCCGTCCCTCTCCGCGCCGCTCTGCAACGCGTGCAGCACTACTGCTCCAATGACCAACTGACCCACCTGGAATGCAAAAATCATGTTGTTTCCTGTGTTGGGGTCCTTGAAGTTCCTGGCGTCGCGTTCGTTACCCGGGCCGTGCGACAGTTGGAAGCTGTTCATTCCCACCATGGCCAGGGAGGGCATGGCTTCGAATTGCTGCACGAGCTTGGGTAGCCAGGAGCAGTCGCTGGGCTGCATGAGGTCGTCATCCTGCGGTATGTGGAAACACCCACAATTGAGAGCAGATGAACCCATCCATCCCTCCATCCGCCCATCCCTCCATCCATCCGTATCAGGATGCTTTAACTGTGCGCGTTGTGTGCAGGTATTTGGGCAGCCTGCGTCGGCCACAACAGGGACGCTATCTGTGCACCTAGAGGGAGGTTGCTGTAAGCGCCTGTATGGTTAGCACAAAGCAGCGTCTAACGTTAAACATGGCTGTTTGCCACAACGTTGAGGATACAGACACTGCAGCTGACTTGTGGTCTCAGCTCCGTTGCTACAGAAACAGCAACAATGGTCGGGAGATGGTCGCTTAAAGTGACGGAATTTCCCGCTCTGCCAGCCCACTTGACCAGTTACAGCCGGACAGTCGGTTCCAATACATAACATAGTGGAAGGCGCAAATACGAAAAAGGCACAAAGCTAATGCTGCTGCTTGGGTACAGTGTAAGTAAGACACGGTGGACCACGAGAGTTCAGGTGATGGGATGGTGACGGCCATGGAACCGGGGAGACCCATCGCCTCTGCTGCTGGAGTCCTCGGCCCGTTGCTCACCTGCAACAGCACCAAGTACTTCCCACGCGCTACGCTGGCCAGACGATTATAGCCTCGGAGCTCGTGCACGTTGTATGACATTACCGGGACCACAAAACCGTTGGTACTCCAGCTTAAGTCGGCCCAGCGCTGGCCCTCCTGGAACGCAGATAAGGGGATGGATCCACAGGATGGATCCACATGCTTTTGCGCCTTCCGCGCTTCCTAACGTACCCATGTTGATTGTGCAAGAGCAGATCACAGCGGATCCCTCCTCTGCTCTTGCACTGCAACCAGCACTGTTATGACAAGAAGAAAGCACCCGTGTAATGGCTAACCTCATTAAGAGGACTATCCTCAGGTACGGCATTGCGGGGTGGGGATAATACACCAGCAGCCACGGTGAACTCGCTACGGGTCACTGGACATGCATGGATATGTCGAGGCTGGTACGGGGACCTGAGGTCGTGTTTGCGATAAGAAATCCTTACGGCCGCGTGATGGGGGGTTGTACGGGGCCTACCTGGGGGCTGTCGACATTAATAAGAAACTGTGACGGGACCAACTGGTTGCAAGCCTGCAGGTCGGGACCCCAAGCATGGGGTAGTGGTATCATCGCAAATGAGTAGCAGAGAGAGGAGACAAGGACAAGATATGAGGTGGAGAGCACATCCCAGCACGACGACAATTCGCTCCTCTTCGAAGCCATGCGGGGAGGGCTCAAGAGGCCCAAAAGCTGGGAAGCCGCCTTGGGTTACGTGGTTGACTCTAAAAGCTGAGCTTGAAAACTGGGATACACGAGACGGTGCACGAGTGCAGTGAGGATGATAGCATCTACAGGATGCTGCCCTTTGCAAGTAAGGGACCAGGGCATGTGTTTGCTGGACCCAACACCTGCCTGGAGCATCGTCACGAAGCTGTCGATGACCTGCGGACGCTTGAAGTATTGTAGCATGAAGGACACCACTGGTTGATCCGGGAAAAGTCGGGGCTGCAGGTGCCCGCTTGTGCAATGAACCTGGGGGGAAGAAACCGAAATGAGAATGCCGCCTCGGAAGAAAGCAGGCATGGAGATGCGCGTCCCTCAACGCATGGACCAAGTCGACAGCTGTGCCCCTGCCAGATGGCTGAGCTACAACTGCCATAACTCACCAGATCCTGTACAGTCGTTGTGGGCGCAATTAATTCCTTTTGCCGAAGATCTTTCACTAAAGACACTATTTTCCCCTCCGTCTCTTTGCAAACGCTGGCTGCATTCTCCTTGCGGGCTGCGACATAGCTTTCATTCCAGGACGTCCTCCAAGCAAATTGCTCCTGAATTTCTTTTGGTGGATCCCGCATCTTCTGCAGCAATGCTTCCATGTCTACCTCTATGCGTCGATGCATCAGCCATGTTTGGAAGAGGTCACGAAGTATCAGAAGTTCGGGTTGATGTTGAGGAAGCTTGGATAAGCGTTCTTCGCAGTATGGCAGCCGTTTAAGGTGCACCGTATCACCGGCGCATTTGGCCAGTATGTTGAGCAGCAGGATGCACGTCAGCCCAGCTAAGGTGCGTGGTAACGCGGTCATGCGCATTTTTATTGAAAGTTTAACAAATTTGCCTCAACAGCTTAAACAGCCCATCAGTAAGCGTCGTACAGAACTGCGCAGCCTAGGCGTAGCCGTCGCGCTTATGTGTCAGTAATGCAAATAATCGGTCTCTCCCATACGTGCTCCCAGGTTGTGTCTGGGAGCTTCCGCCTCGCTCCGCATTCCATAAAGGCCCTGAAACGTTCTTCTTAGTCATATTGGCTCGCTAGGGCTGTAAAGCTTGCTGTGATGCCCGAAGGTCTCAACCAAGTCGCAAACGCTGGATTGTAGTCTGGAGCCCAGGCTATTTCGGACCGGGACAACTCATCAGGCCCCCAGGCTGCACACGGGGTCAAAGCCAGGCCCGGGTAGTAATCGGGGCTGCTCAGTCCTCTTGGTCAAGGGGATAGGCTATGCCATCACAACCTAACACAATTCGCCAGGGCCTGCCTTTGCCAGGCTGGCCTGCCATACCTGCGGCTAGCCTACCCTGTATAAATGAAAGGGCCAGGCCTGAGGGCAGGGGAACACATTAACCCCATGTTCAAGGCAGCAAAGGGCTGGGCTGAAACAATAAGTATGGGGCAGAGCCTATTGTTAGGGCTGAGATGGGTCCAGAGTCCAGGGCAGAGCATAGAGCGCAATCCATAGGTATGTATTGAGCTATCACAGGACCAGGGAGCTACCAGGGCTGGGAATGAACCAGAGCCAGGGCCAAGCGTCCTGTAGAGACAAAAGTCCCGGCGGGAGTTTTGTTTGGTCTGGGTCGCCCTGGTCCATTGTCATGCGTTAGGATTTCTTGTTTTTTCACTGGAACGGTCAGAATGCATAGGCTCGCACAGGTAGGCGGATGCGGTAATCGGCATTAATGGTGTAATCACATCATGCCCACGCGTGGCCATGTACAGCACATGAGTCCATGCAAGGCAAAAAGCTAGATCCAGGGTGATTGGCTGCAATCTGCAAGCGTTCTTCCTTTACTACATCTGTGTCCGGCCTTTTGCGAAGAAGAGCAGCAGTGGCGCAGCAATCCTAATTTAGGTCACTTTCGTACCGCATTCGGCCACACGTCAGGACAGTGTGCGGCAGTTGAAGTCAAGAACGATGAAACAACAAGATGTATGGCTAGGGCCCATAAGTCTGCTAGCCCCTGTTTGCCAATGTATTTGCTCACAGGGGGGTCTAAGCTGGTCCATGAAACTTCGGCAGACATAGCATGCAAGCCGCATGATTCGCACCCTGGGCTGGCAGGGGCGCTGGGCCGTTAGCGTTGAGCACGGCAAGGGAGGCAGTCGGCCAAATTGATGCTTTTATTCCTGCGGTATCGCATCCTATGTGCCCATAAGGGCATACACATCGCATTACAGATACAAGATAAGAGTCTCCTGGCGCGCCCTAACCGCACCCTGCTGCGTTCGGTTGGGACGGTTCGTTCATTGAGACATTCCACGGTGGGAAATCCTGCACGTCCCGGCCCAGGAACTACGCGTTCCATTCCTCCTCACTTTCCGTAGATCTGCGCTTCCCCGTACTGCACTCCATTTCCGTCGTAAAACGCGTATGTAGACAGACCATCCTGGCCAACTAAAAGCATAAGACTGTCACTGTATCGAACATAGTAACCTGCCAAACGTCCGTTAAGACGTAACACAACCAACGCCCTCCCTACTCACCACCGCTGCTAAACCTCCGCCAAGAATGTCACCTGTTGCCGGGGCATACATCCCCTCATCAGGCTTCCCTTGCCCGGCCTTGTCGCAACGCATATCGTGTATCAGGGTCTGTGGGTTAATTCGCGATAACGCAATGGGAAGTTAAATTGCAAAGGTTCGCGGCGCTCTCCTTGCAGCAACGCGTCTCTCTTCGCGCTTTCATGCTATTACAGCATCCGTTCTCCGCAGCAGCCACGGTCAAACCCGTGCCATAAACGCCTTACGAAGCGCCAAGCCCTACCCATCCTCCTGCCGATAGTCCACAGCCACCGCTAAGCCCCCAAGCAAAATGATACGAGGATTCCACCGCATAGCCGTCTGCCAGGCCGCACGTCAGATGTTTTCCAGACCGTGTTGCGCTTCTTAGCTCTTTGCGCCAGGCCCCTCTATCCCCACCCCCGCTTTGATGCTCTGCAACACCTCCGCTCTCCTGCTGGCCGCCTCCCGCTGTGCCCGCACCATGGATGCACGCCACTCCGCAAAGTTGCTGGCCTGCCGAGCTCGAAAGCCCGCGCGTTCACCCTTGCTCGCCTCCAGCGCCTTTCCAACGCTCTCCAATCGGACCGCGCCATCGGCGGCAGCCGCCATGGCGCTGGTCTGCCGTCCCGCCAGCTGCGCCGCCGTCAGCCGCACCGGGGGCTGATCCCGTAGTACCTGCAGCTGGGCCGTGGGGTCCAGGTTAAGCACGCTGCCGTCCTTAAGCACACGCGACACGGTCCCGGGCGGTGCCGCCGGTGCACCGTCCTCGATGCCGGCGGGCGTCCCTTCGTCCCCACCCGCAACGGCCTGCTGCTGTTGCTCCGGCTGCTTTTGCTGCACTTGCTCCGCCTTGTACTTCTCAAGGATCGCCGCCGCTATGGAGGAGCGGCTGCCAACGTAGGCCTTCTTGTTGTCAGCCGGCGCATTGCCGGCGGCGGTGGCGCTGCCGCCCTTGCCACCCTTGCCCGACGTCACGGTCCCCGCCGGCGGCTGCGCGATTAGCTGCACCGGCGCTGCGTTCCATTTGTCATATACGCCCTGCACGTAACGGGCTAGGCTATTGTCCGAAATTACGGTGACAACCTTCTCGTCCGCGGAGGGGTGCACCCAGACCTTCAGCTTGATCGGCTTGCCGCCAGGCATGGCTCCAGTCCGCGGGTCGGGCTGCATTCCCACGGGGCATGCCTTGGCGTCGATTGTGCATGCAATCAGGTACTTGCCCGGCTTGAGGGTCGCGTCGGGAATGAGCGCATAGCCCTCAGGCGTCGCAGCGGGGCCCTCCGCCATGGCAAGGCCCACGCCCTCGTTGCTGGACGACGACGCCAGCACGGGGTAATCGACGGACGCCAGCCACGTGATTTCCCGTCCCGGCGGGGCCTCCTGCAGCGTCATCCTGAATGGGAGACGAGGCTCCGTGGTGGCCAGGATGGCCACCTGGCAGGTGTTAGTGGTGGTGATGGCGGTGCGACCGAGGACAAGCCTTGCGTTGGGCCGGTATGTCTCAACGAATTCATCGCTGCGGGCCGACGGCACTTCCGACAGCACCGCCGCAGGCAGTGGCCCCGTCGACGTCACAGTCAGGCAGTAGTTACCCTCTTCCGCCACGCCCCGGGTCGACGTGTCGTACAGCGCCATGAGGCAGTAGCCGCCGCCCGCCGTCGCACCGCTGCCGCCACTGGCAGCTGATGCCGAAGGCGCTGGTGCCAGCTCTGTCGCATGTAGCCGGTTGCCGGGCAGCAACTTCGCCTCCCCGGAAGCTCTATCCACAAGCAACAGCCGCGTCGCCGCGCGCATGTCCTCGCCGTTGATCGACAGGTGCGCGGCCACCGTTGCTCGGTCCGTGGGGTTCAGGTTGTATCGGAACAGCAGACCCAAAGAGTCAGGAGGCATGTCGGGGTGGCGGCCCTCCTGCGAGGCCACGTGTACGGCTGAGTCGTGCATCGGCATGACCTGGTTGTACTCGCCGACGGTGCAAGGGCTCGCCGACATGAACGTCACCGCGTGGAGGAACAACGGGTCGGAGTTGATGCGCAGCAGGTGCTTGCCCCTTGGCAGCTCCAATAGGGCGGCATTGGCCATGAGGGTGCGTAGGCGCTGCACCGTGCGGCCGGGGCGGCCACCTGGGGAGCGCCAGTCATAGGCCTCCAGCACCAGCTGCCCGGGCGCCTGCGCACGCGGCCGACGCCAGTTGTCGGCAGCGAGCTGCTTGGCGGCATGGAAGGAAACCACCGGGTCTGTGTCGGTGAGGATGAGGTCCAGCGGCAGCTGGGCCGGCGGGCCGCCCTGCCGCAGTGGCGTGGCGGGCTTGCCCGTCTGCGGAGTCGCGGGGGTCGGGACCCGCGACTGCGGCGTGCTCAGCCGCGAAGCTGACTTGGACACGGGCGTTGGCGACTCCGCCGCCTTGATCAACCGCTGCACCATGGCCGCCTCGCGCTGCGCTGCCTCCAGGCACTGCCCCACCGCCGACTCCTCACGCTGATCCTGAATCCGCAGCCGTATGTCCAGGTCGGAGAGCTCCGCCGTCAGGTATACCACACGCGGCGTCAGGACCGCCCCAGCGGCGCCGCCATCGGGCCCGCCGGCGGCGGCGGCGATGTCCAGCGCGCCGGTCCCGGTTCCTGTGCCAGCGGTAGAGTGAGGGCCTGACGGTGTAGCCGGTGGAGACGTGAAGATGATCTGCTGCGACGCCAGCTCCCGCAGAGCCAGCGCCACCTCCAGCGGGGCCTCGATTACCGCCAACTTGCCGGCAGCCCAGGCGGCCTGCAGCGCCGCACGCGGTACGCCGTAGCGATGCCCATCCCAGCCCTCGCATACACCCAGCAGCAGGTCTGACGCCGCCGCGGCATCTAGCGCCTCAGTACTGACGCAGCAGGCCGTGGCCAGCGGCTCGCGGCCCGTAGGCCCCAGCCCCGCCCGGCCCTCCGCAACCTCGCCACCCGTGCCGTCCGCCGCCGGCGGCCGCAGCGTTACATTCGTGCTGGGCTCCCTCCGCAGCGGCGGCCGGGAAGTAAGCACCGGAACCAGCTCCAACTGCGTCCCCAGGGCTCGAAGAAGCATGCGGAGTACCGTGGACTTGCCGACGCCAGCGGGGCCGGACAGCACCAGCACGTTGCGTGGCGTGGGCGGGTCCTCCATAAGGCCGTACTGGGGGCCTGTGAAGAGGGAGGACAGCAGCTTGACTGGCTCAGGAGAGTCCACGTACAGCAGCGCCACGCGGGAGAGCTTGTTGGTGTCCACACGGCGGAGCTGGTGGGAGGTGGCGAAGATGGAGGGGTCCTGTGCACAAGGGAGGGAAATGGACGAATGGCGGCGGGGGACGGCGTACAGCACGTGGGGGCGGTAGATTACATACTGGGTTCTAGTGGTCAGGTGCGCATACAACCGCGCTCACACCTACGCTTCTTGCCAGCCAGCCAGCCATCTCCTCACACAAACACACACACACACACCGCCATCACGCCCCCTCCTTCCTTTCCTGCCGCACACGCAGATGCAGACGCAGACACAGATGCTTCCGATCCAGTCCATCAAAGGGAAGCGCGGCCATCTGTCCGTTCTCCCAACGCAGGACGCAGGACGGATCTGTCCGTCCACCCACCCACCCGACCGTCACCACCACCACCTGCCCACCTGGCACAGCAGCGCGCAGTATGCGTTGCTGCCCAGCACCTCCGTTGCGTCCACCCAATACAGGCGACCGTCATCCTGCTGCAGCTGCAGCAGCTGCCGCCGCCGGTATCGCAGGGTGGCGGCCACCAGGTACTGCAGCTCCTTAAGCGAGGTGGAGGGGATGACCTGCGGACAGAAAAAATAGGGCACATCCAATTGTGTGTATATTCAAGCGTGTGTTATAAGAAATATATCCATGTGTGTATACATATACACATATATGTAATACATACATATTATGGAGAAATGTGCAAGCAGCGGAGTACACGAGGAAACGGCTAGGAGACCTTTTTTTCAAAAAAAAAGAGTGACTTCCTGGCAGGCTGCACGAGCGGTAAGACATGAACAGGTGAGTGGTTGCCTGATTGGGCCACGGCTGAGATGACGAGGATGTGGATAGTGTCCTGTTGCGGAGCGCTGTTTGCGTGCATGTCAAGGGTTCGACTAAGTCGTTGGTCCGCCTTGCGATCCACCGCATCCAAGTTACCGAACGCGCTAAACAAGCAAAAGAACGCATGCACTCCTTACATATAATATAATGGTATATATCATAAAAAAATATATTAATATAATATGTATAATGTAATATATTATACTGACAGTAGCATTTCAGGCGCAGTTCATGCCCGCACCCACCTGCAGCTCGGGCATCCTGGCCTCAAGTGTCAGGTAGTCCAGGGCGCGTTGGAAGAGCTGGCGCGGGTCGGAGGTGCTGCTGAGCCGCAACGAGATGTCCGCGAACGCGTCCCGCAGCGCCCCGTAGTGGTCATCTGCCAGCTTCAGACGCGCCATCACGTTCTCCTCACTGTCGTCGTGGCGGCTCACCAGCCTATAAGCCACGGAGAAGGAGGCCAGGGAGGGGAAATGCGCATTAGGAACATGCAAGGAAGGGTAAGGGGAGCCGGGTTAGGGGGACTGCAGGAGAGGGGTAGCCGAGGTGTAGGGCTCTTCCGCGGGCCTGGCAGGAACCTCATCATGACCGGATCGAAGTACGCGCGGGTATTGCGAAGGAGTCCTTGGGGGCACATTTTAGCGGCGTGGGGTAGGGAGAAAGAAAGCCGATGGCAGCGACGGAGGGGACCAGAGGAAGACATGGTGCGGCCATAGGGGATGGCAGCAGCAAGAGTTGGAAGGTCACCATGGTAGGACACCAAAACACAGGTCGGCCGCGAGTCAGGAGGTCTGCCCTGTATATTCGCTCGCTGCTGCGCCACGGTAACATGACCCCGATGGACGTTGCGGATCGGCGCTTTCGTTATCAGCGTCCGCTCGTCCCAGCTGAGGCAGCTGAGGCAGCACACGCACACAAGCACGACAGCAAACACACGGGCTGCTGCCCCACCTTCCCGAGGACCTACTACGAGGGACGCCGTGTGCTGTGGAAGCTCCGGGTAACAGTCTATGGAGACACAATAACCCCCGCTGGCTGGCACGCACCGGGACCGTGCTCGCCTCCAGCGACGCGATGGCTGGCAGGTGATCACCACGGCCCCCAACACACACACACTACACACACACACACACTCTCTCTCTCTCCCCCCTCACACACACACTCTCCCTCTCTCCCCCCTCACATTCACACATAGACACCCACCTGGCCATGACCTCCGCGTCCGGGGTGCCGTCGGGCTTCTCCGGTATGATTGCCGGACTGAGTGCATCCACGCCCTCATCCGGCACATGGTACACCTTGCCCGTGACAGGGTCGTAGCGACGGTAGCGGGTGCGGTCCAGCAGCGTGGCGTGCTCACCCTCCAGGAACAGCACCTGTACGGGTGACGAATGGCAGAGCAAGCAGACAGCCACAAGGGGCAAGCATCAGCCGGGACGTCCCCAAACCAGACAGATGGTCAGCCAGCAGGCAGGCAACTAGGCGCCACCTAGGTAGGGACGTCACTTCACCTCCTTGCCTTGCCTACCTTATCTGGAATAATGCCCATCTCCTCAAGCTCTGCACACTGGTTACGTGTGTGTGGGAAGCCGTCCAACACCCAGCCGCGTGCCACACAGTCCGGCTCGGCCAGACGTGTGCGGAGCACAGCAAAGAAGATCCTGCAGAAGCGCGGAGCAGACAGCACCAACGAGAGGTGTCACGGGGCGATTGAGCACACAGCCGTCTTGGTTGTACGCACAAGACACAGAACACAGCGTTCGCCTCCATGAAAGCTGAGATTCCATAATGACACATAATCATGTAGGTATCGTACATCGGAAGCGGTCATTGCTGCTCTTTCGTCGGGGGGTTTCGGAATAGCGCATGGGGGGAACGCGGCCCCGCCAGAGGAAAAGAACCATCGAGACGGAAAAACACGCGCAACGCAAAAATGGCATCACGTGGGCATCGGGTTTTACCGGCAAGTCGAAAAGTGTAGCCCGCCTGCTTCACACACCCTCACGTCAGCGCCCACGCTCTCTTTCCCCCACGCCTTGTTGGTCTTGTTCGAGCTTTTACGCCTTTCCTACGCTTAACCCGGTTTTCACTCGGCCCACCTGTCCGGCACAGTCTTGCTGGCGTCCATGTACTCCTTGGCCTCCAACCCCAGCGCAGTTCTCTGCCGTACCTCCTCAAAGATGAGGTCACCCACGTTGACATGCGGCATGCCAAAATGTCCCGCCAGCATGTCGCACAGCGTGCTCTTGCCAGCGGCAGCAGGGCCCAGAACCATGACACACAGGGGCCGCAGCCCGTGGCTACGAACTGAGAGGTCCCACAGCTGCCGGCCGTAGCCCCACACGAAGTGCCGCGTGACGACATCGGGGTAGTGGCGGTGTACGGCCTCGGCTAGGCGGATGAAGGAGGGATCCGGCGCGTCGGGTGCATGGACCACCCACTCGTCGAAGACGCCTTCCTCACGCGAGGCGAGTGTCTCGGCCTTGGCGGTGGCAAAGAACAGGTTGACGGCATCTTGCAGCTCGTAGCCCAGCGGAGGGTTGGAGGAAAGCTCCTGCGAGCGGCGGCGGGGCGTGTGGTGGTGGGAGAAGGAGAAGGAACAAGGGGAGGGAGGGAAGATAGCGGTGTGCACGCTTGTGTAGTTGCCAGGAGAAATGTAGCGTAATGGCACATGCTGTGCTGGAAGGTTCGGCAACACGGCTGGTCATGCACGCGGATATCCTCTCCCTCGAAATAAACCGCACAAAGCGGAAGCGAAGGACAACAGCGTCTCCTCTCCTCTTCCCTCATCCCTTGCCTGCAATTCCCCATCCCGAACCCCCTTACCTCTTGTATAACCGACAGCAGCTTGCCCATGTCCTCCATGCCCACAAACATGTACGTGGCGTCAAAGCCTCGCCGCCGGAGCTCCACTGCATCCGCCACGTGGTCCACTTCCAATATGGGCACCCGCCCGCTGGCCGCCACCTTCTTCACTGCCGCCAGCTCTGTGCCGTACACATCGCCCATAACTTCCTTGTGCAGTGCAAAGCCTTCGGCTGCCATGATGGCCTCCGCCTCGGCGCGATCCACCACCACCATGCCCTCGCGTGCGGGGTCAGGATCGTTGGGACCCGGCTGGTGGGTCGTGGTTATGACGGGCACGGCGAAGCGGCCAGGCAACGCGTCGAACAGACGCGCGAGGAGCTTGCGCTTGCCGGTGCCGAAGGCGCCTGCCAGCACTAGCGGGCGGTACGGCTGCGGTACAACGTGCGGCACGTGGGACGCCAGCGCAATGCGTACAGTGCTGATGAGGTCAATCATCTCGTCTGCACGCACGACGACGTCGTACAAATCCGCCGAGGCAGCGGAGGAGGCAATCTGCGGGTTGGTGTTGACACGACGCGTGGGGTTTTCGGGGGCAGGAAGAGGTTGCAGGTTTTTTTCAGCAGTAGAGGCCCATGCCCTATGGTAATAGTGGTAGTTCGAAACAAGCGTTATGACCAGCAAGGCAGGCAGGCCCCTTCGCCGCCAGCGCCTCGTCGTTCATCTCGCCTTCCCTCGCGTCCTCATCCAACGCACTCTCCCAACACCATGGCCTGCCAAGCTGATCATCCCCAATTGCCTGCCTTGATGCTTCAAATCCATTGCAAGGTACCTTTTCGCCCCATTCTTTCCCTCCCTTGCCGCATTGCCTCGTTCCCATTCTTGAACCTGCCGTTTCCCACTATCTCCATTCCAGCTACCTTTGCCAGTTCTACTCAACAGCCCTCAATGTGCACTTTCACGCCCGGCTTTCGACTCTGCGGACTTGCTTTTCACGGTGTTTCCTGACCCTTCCCGTTCCTTCCCCACCACACCGCACGGAACTACGAAAATGTGTTACCACCACAGCTCCTTCCCGCGCGTACCTGCGCCTGCTGGTCTAGGTCCGCAAGCGCCCCCTCCAAATCCAAGGGAGCCGCAAGTCCCGGGCCCTTGGCCCCGGGCACAGCCGCGCCGCCCTTGACGCTCTTGCTCCGGGCAAGAGCCTCCCGCTGCTGCATCTCCAACGCCTCGCGCAGCTGCCCCGGGCTCGCCACAAAAACGTACAACGCGTCTTTCAACACCGTTCCGTTCCGCAGCGTCGGCAGCGCGGTGATGTAGTCCGGCACCTCCATCACCGCTACCTTGTTCTCCGCCGCCACGCGCAGCAGTGCCGCATTGGATATGGCGATGTTGCCGGAGCCTTTGTCGTCGCCGGCGCGCTGGTACGCAATCTGGCCCTCTGCGGCCATGCGGCTCAGGTCCTTGGGCGCGACGAAGGTAAGCGCTGGGGTGCTGACCTCGCCTTTGCCGGGCTTCCGATCCGTTGTGAGCCCTGGCGCGGTGAATTTGTCAGGGAAGGTGCTAATGAGCTGCTTGGCGAGTGCGGAACGCCCGCCGGCGGCAGGGCCGCACAGCACCAGCACAGGCTGCTTGGGCGGCGGCGGCGGCTCAGCCTGGCGTTCCTCCTCCGGCACGATGATGTCTGGGCGGCATCGGCTGATGAGGCGGGTGAGCTGGTCGTAAGCGGCTTGCGGGTCGTCGATGACGATGCTGGCGTCGAAGGGATTCCCGGGCGCGGAGGCAGCCTCCATCTCACGTCGCGCCATGTCGATGCGTGCGGCGATTTCCTCATCGGTTTCTGTGAGATACTGCCGCAGGCGCGCCTATTGGGAATAGGGGCGGAGGAGGATTGGTGTCGGTCAATTCAGCGCGGGGCCCAGTGCTGTAAGCATATGGATGCCGGATACATGCACAGCAGGCTAAGGTTGTAGGCTGATGGCGTGTGACGGAGCACGGCCCTTCAAGCCGGGGGAAGCGTTCAGGCTGACGAGGCGCGGGGCTCGTTGTCGAATCGAGCAAGTTAATGGGCAGTTGATTTGGACGGCCCTTAAGAGGAAAAGAAAGCGAAAGACCCGGAGCCTTAGTCTAGTGGTAGCAGGAGGGCTGCCGCGGGCCGGAGGGGCCAGCCAGTGGGAACGTGTGGAGGGAGCGCACCACCAGCACCCCTAGCTGCCCCTCGTGCTCACCTCGAAGACCTGCACGCTGGGCGGCTTGAGGAAGATGGTCAGGCAGTCAATGCCACGCTTCTTCAGCATCTCTGCACCCTCCGTCTCGCACTCGATGAGCGGCAGGCGGCCCGCACGGATGACCTCCTTGATCGCCTCCGCCGTGACACCCCACTGCCGGGCCACCAGCGGGTGCTTGAACAGGTCCGTGTGCCACTCCAAGAAGGTCCCAGCCTGGGCGGAAGCCGTGAACTCTGGAGGAGTGGTCCAAAACAGGCGCCGGGGCCGGGGTTCAGAAAGGTGATGCAGAAAGAAGCTAAGGGGAATTCTCGGACGACGCGGATTACTCGCAGAGGAGACCAGGGCGCGAGCTTGGGTGTGGAATGGGGCAGTGGAGGCGCTTGGGGGAGCGGGCAAGCGGAGTGTGAGGAGAGAGGATGTTTTGTATGGAAGCATCCCAGAGGGTACGACAGTCCTTGGATTGACAAACAACAACTCCTGAGCCGGGCAGGAGTGCCTTTTAAGGGCATGGAGTCGCGGGGGCGCAAAGGTAGGAGCTTATATGGATGGCTAGCTGGTTTGTTTCTGCAGAACAGCGAAGAGACGCACGTTAAATGCTTCCCATCCAATCTCAAGTCCAAACGCGCTCTCTGTCCAACCGCTTGCTTCACTCCACTCCTCCCTGCAAGGCGCTTGACCCGCCAGCCTCCCAGCCCTTCTTCATAACCACAACAGCACCTCTTGAAACGCTGCGTTCTCTGCCCCGCCCTTGAACCTGCCCAGCTTCCCTCCCCTCTCCCCCTGTGCGGCCCGTGCCCTTCCCAACCCTACGCCATTTCATCTAAGCTACCAATACTCCCTTTCCTTCCTAACCCCTCCACTCCTTCCCCTCTGGCTCATGGCGCACCTGACGGCGGGACGGACGCGTGGGTAGGCCGGGATACGTGCACGTCCTCCCCGTCCTTGCTTTTGATGACCTCCCATTGCGGCTGCTCCGGGGGTTCGGGCGCATCCACTCGGTACAGCGCCTCCTCGTGGTGCGGCTTAGTTGTGGTGTAGCGCGGGTAGGCGAACACGTCGGGAAACTCGTGCACCAGCTGTTCCATGATGGCTCGCCGCTCACCTGCAGCGGAGCAAGTGCGATGCAAAGGGAGGACGGGGGACGGGGAGCTGCGGTAAGGGATAAAGCGAACCACCACGAATCCGAACAAAACCCTGTTTACCAAATGCGACGGTCAGCGCGCCTGGATGACGATGAGGGCATTTGTGTGCTGGTCTAGGTGAGCGCGTTTCGAGTATTTGTGAGGGTTTGTTGCGTGGTTGCGCAGGTGTGTATGTCGATAGCGCACGAGCATGGGAGCACGTGGGGCTTTTGTATGGAGGGATGGGTATATATGCGTATGGTGCTTGTGAATGAATGGCGGCCGGGTGTATATGCGCTATGATATGAGTAGACCATGCAATGCCCCTTCCTCCAGCATCTCGTACCCCGTACTCTTGACCTTTCCCTTCCGAGCCTTTCAACCCATCCCGCTTCCCTTTGCTTACCACCAGACACAGTCTGCCACCCCCTCCTCGGGTTACCCCACCTGTGGTTGGGCCCGTGATGACCACCGGCTTAAGGAAGGGCTTCTCCACCAGGTTGGGCGCGATGAGATCCGCGTAGTCGAGCACGTAGGCCGGCAGGCCGTGTAGCCTGTTGCGGATGATGGGCGACAGCGTGGAGATGGCCTCCTTCACGTCCAAGTACACGGCCTCCGAGTCGTCCACATTCTCAACCACGTTGTCGATGACGCCGCCGCCAGGCTGCGACCGCTCGATCTCGCTGGCGGCCCACGCCAGACGCTTTGCAATCGTGGACTCCGCCTCCTTGAGCCGTGCGCGCTGCCGCCGCTCCAACTCCTCCAGGGAGGGAGGCGCCACGAACACGTACAGCCCGTCAATGCGCTTGTTGGCACGCAGACTGCGGACGCCCTGCACGTCGAGGCCCATGAGGCACAGCTTGCCCGTCGCCGCCACCTCACGCACGGTGGCGAAGCTGGTGCCATACAGGTGCGTGCCGCGCGTCGATGGCACGGGTGCGGACTCCAGAAGCCGCCCCGCTGCTGCCTCCTCTCGAAACACCGTCACCTCCATGAAGAAGTAATCTGAGCCAGATACCTCATGCTCACGCGGCGGCCGCGTGGTATGCGATACCGTCAGGCCAAATTTGTCAGGGAGCTCGTTCACCAGGCGCCGCAGCAGCGCGCCGCGCCCCACGCCTGATGGCCCCACCAGCACGATTAATCGCGGCGGGGGCCGCGTCGGCAGAGCGCGCTTTATCAGCGTGACGGCCGCTACCGCGTGGCGTGCTGCGCGTTCTTCATTGCCGCGAACTGCGTCCTCCAAGCGGTCGAATGCGCGGCCGCCCGATAACCGCGTGCCGGAAAGGGGGTCCAACAAGTCTTCCTGGGGCCAGCCAGTGAGCAGCTGAAAGGCGGCGGCCTGGTGCGGCAGGCCACAGTGCAGGATGCGCTGCGCCGCCAGCACCTTGAGCACGGCCTTGCTCAGAAGCAATGGCCACAGCTGGATGGGCCGCGCGTTCACGAGCAGCGGCCGGCCAAAGAGGTCGACGGGAATGCGGTCGTCCACGAACACCGTGCGCCAGGCGTCCTGCACAGGGAAGATATTGAGGAGGTCATGGCGGACAGCGGCTAGGGTACGGAACGGAAAGCCGCTGGATCACTCAAAAGGCTGGGGAGAGGCGAGCACATGTCCAGACTATGAAGGGGTATTTCTGGAACTGTGGAAAGCCAGCAAGAGGTCCTCCCTCCGCGAGAAAAAAACAGGGCCTCGACGACCCTCCCAAGCACCTTCTCCCTGTACGCAGTAGCGCTGACATGGAGCTGGAATTCTGGAGAGCATAAGGCAAAGCGCACTACTGCATGAATCCACCTTTGAGCTCGCGCTCCCCTCCTCAGGTGTATGAGCGCGGCCGCCCTTTAGCGACCTGCGTTCAGTTCAGTGACTTCCCCGAACTCACCATGATGAAGAGCTTGATCTTGTACTTGCCATTCTGGGACTTGGTGGCCTGCCCGTCCTTATCCTTGGGGTAGATGAGCTCCCACAGGTACTCGCCAGGCTTCACGGCTTTCTACGGGTACAGCAAACCAGAGGAAGAGAGGGGTCAGGAACGGCACACTCTGCCTGCGCCCGTTGGAGCATACGTATTAGGTCCACTATCGACCATGCTGCGATGACCCACATCAGGAAAACGCAGCGATTTCCCAGCATTTGGCACAGGACGGCCGGCACGATCTGCCAGGGCGATCCCCCCCACCCGGAACATTCACCACACCGACCGCCCAGGGAAGGCAACCGAGTAAACTATGCAGTTCCCACCCACAGCGGCGGAAGTGGTCCCCACCCAGGGGATCCAGAGGGGACATCGGCCAATCACATGTGACCACCCTACCACAACCAGGAGCTGCAAACAGTCCACCACGCCGCCTGCCTAGCAGCCGGGCAGTTCCCCACTTCCAGGCCGCCGGATTACGTGGCAACTGGGCCCTAGAACCCGTTTGTAGCGATAACCGGGAGATACACGAGCTCCACATGGCGTGTCGAACTCATGCTTTGCCAGACGCATGCGGCTAAATCAGTAGTTCGCCGTGTGCTCATTCTGCCGCCGTCCACCACCGCCACCCGTTCCACGCTGATCCAGGATTCCACACGGGCTCACACGGCCATCCGGGGTTTACACGGCGGCACACGGCCGAGCCTCCACCGCCCCAAGTATATCCCATTTGCGGCTCCGCACCTGCGCCGAGATGACCATCACAAACACCGCCTGGAGCCAGTCAAATGTGCGGTGCCCTGCGGACAGCGTGCCCTCCAGCTCCCGCGAGGTTACTACAGGCGCGTTCTTGCCCCTGGATTCGCGAGCCCCTGCCATTTCAGGCTGCTGCTGCAGCGGCATCGTGAGCACCATGGGCACGTCCGGGGAGTTAAGCACCAGCTCCTCAGGCCGCTTCCAGGTGTCTAGAAACATCTGGGTCTCCGGTGGCAGCGCAAGCCCCGCAATGTCCTCATATTTCTCGTTGGGTTGGGCTGGGAGAAGCAGGGTTGGGCGAGGGAGGGAGATGGGCGGGATTGCATGAGCACAAGATGGGGCGTAGGGTGTGCGATGCGGGGCGTATGTGTGTTGCAGTGTGTGCAGGAGTTGAGGAGATAGGTCGAGTTGGGATACCTGGAGGCAGCTCCAATACATTGCCCAGTGCACGGGGCGTGGCTGTAGGGCAGGCCGCTTAGCAGCGTTCCATAAGTTGTGATGAGGCTGGTGTCTAAAGGGCCTGTTGAGCGGCCACCAAAATCACAAGTTGCAAGCGTTGGCCGCTTGGTTAGCCGTACGGCGGGTTTCCGTGGGCGCGACCTGCCCCATTTCTGTTTCCGGCAGTTCTTGCGAGAAGAAGGTTGTCATGCAGAACTATTCTACAGATCTCCGTCGCCCCTTATCGCGGTAAGGGCAGCCGGTTTCCTTTCGTGCGACCTGCTGATGTGCACGTTATGGCATGCCCCGCGGCACTAACCAGTACGCATGACACCTTCGAGTAAACCTGATTATCCTCTCACCGGGTGCCTCCTTTTCGTCCTTTTCCTTTCCAGGTTCCAGCCATAGCGGGAAGGCACGGTCAAGGAAGGAAACCTGGGGCACTGGAGGCGCCTGGTTCCTAGCCTTTGGATCAACAGGCTTCCCCCTTGCATCCAATTTCGGCGCCATTGAAGCTTATGCCAAGGGCTTTCGTTCTTGCCGAGCGCGAATGCTCAACATTTCACAAAGGTAAGAATAAACAGACTGTCATAAACATTTTTGCTCGCATATCATATGATTAATTCGACAAGTGATAAAATCACGTTGCGATAGTCTAGTCCGGTAGCACCTTCGAGCTTTGTGAGTAGCAGCTAGCAAACGCTGTGTACTGTTATAATAATACAAGCATACAATGCACTTTCTCCGCGTTCAAAATTTGGAGAGGGTTGGACTACCCTTGGCGAAGAAAGTTTGCAAATATGGTAGTTTGTACGGACATTGTCCGGACTTCCCCCTGTTCTCTTTCCTTGCGAAGCTTATGTCCAGGGTGATGCTGGTGTTGAACCTACGTATGGCTTTGCGATTAGAATGTTGACCCAGCCTTTGAAGTGCCGACCTTGCTTACGGCGCCAGGTTTGTGGGCAACGCAACCTAGCTGTATGTTTACCAGTCGTGCACCATATTTATAATCCAAATGGCCCGGTACGATTAGCATGCTCAGAACCGCGAGGGCCGCCACGCCACCGCCTCGCGGTCGCGCAAGCGGTTCGTCGAGGGCGGCCAGCGGAACCAACACCGGATGTACCAGACGATGAGTATTTCCTGGAAGAAGACGAGGATTATGAATTGGACGAGGAGGAGGACGGAGAATTCGTGGAGCAGTTGGACCCAATGTCCAGAAAACTTATGGGTATTACGGCACCAGACGAGGATGAATTTGAGGAGGATGAAGAATCTGATGATCCGGAAGATGAAGGCGTGCTAGAGGAAGCTGCAGAAGCAGGTGCGGGGCTACTGCACCTTTCGTTGCTGCAGGCGCCGCCTCAACAATCGCGAGCCTTCGTGTATTGCAATGCTCGATTGCCGTTCCACATTTGTACCCCGGTACGCACAAATTTGCATTTGCAGACCGTGACGGGGCAGCGGCAGACGACGTCGGTGAGCCGTCCACATCGTACCCCGAACCGCCAAATCGGGTCTATCGCGCGTCGGACCTCTTTGGCGAGGCAGCAGTGATGGACGCGGCGCTCTGGCTTGCCTCGAGTGAGTTGTGTCCCAGCTTGGGTACTGTCTGTGCCAACGCGCTAGCTGCGCTGACCTGTAAAAGACCTAGTCGTCGGCCCCGCGTGGACGGTCCTCCCTACATGCGAACTGCGCTTGCACGGGCACTTCAGCGGGGTGTATTAGCCTGCGGCTAAGGCGTGTGAGACACCTGAGCGATAAGGCCCTGTATGCCCTACTGGTCTGCGGAAATGCCGTGCGGGGTGGTAGTTTAGAATCGTTTACGCGAGGTTTGCAGCTCCTCCATATTACGCAAAATTCAACGTCAAATGAAGTCGATGTCTGCCTGGGCTGCAGATAGGCCGGCAAGGTGGGTTTGGGCCTGGGCTCTCCTTCAGTACCGTCTGGCCGAACAAAGCTACTCACAAATCCGCGGTCCTGTGCCCCGGCAGGCTATCCTGATGTCTTGGTCACTGGCCTGCAGAGCAACCCGCACTTGGTAAGAGGTATGCGCGTCCTTGGTCCTCTGTCCTACAGCGGATATAGGTGACCTTGCGACCGCAAACAATGAGAGATACCTCCCATTACTTACTTGTCCGTCTTTGGAAAACCAGAGGAAAACCGTAACACAGCTGGAGGTGAACGTGCACCTCTTTTTCCATGATGTACCGCTCTTTACCTACGTAATCACTGAATGGAATAGTCTGCAAGGATGCAGCTCCCTTTCATCAGCATGACATCGCCACAGGTCTGCATTTTGGCAGGCGATGCCAGAGAAGCTCCTGACATCCTGTCCGGGCTTCTTTCCGCTCCCCACTTTCGGCATGCTCAGGTTGTTCCGGGCGACATATTTGTGCTTCACCCTGGACTAATCCCCGATGACGACTTGGACGCGATCTCGGTTGCCGTGGAGCAAGGGGCGACGGTCATTGTCGCCCCCCGGGTCAAGGCGGAAGATCCGGGCTTGGACCCGGCGCCCGACCCCGTGGGGCTCGCGGGGATCCTGCCCGACGAGGTGCCTCTGATTCGGGTGGAGGACTCCCTAGCCATGGGCGCACGGCTAGCAGCGGCGTTCTACGGTATGTGCGCGTGGCATCCCCGGGGCATGGGCGGGCTTTTTGGAGCGGCACTATCCGCGTGTAGGCTGCGAGCTCCTTGCCTGGACCCCTGCGACGTGGCTTTTGCGGTCGTGGGGTTGTGTTTAAGAGCCGGAGCCGGAGCATTAGGTGTCTCGAATGTACGCTGGGGCTGTTAAACTTGAGTTCGGACGAACGCCTTGCAGCCAGCGACAAGGTCGACGCAATTGTAACGGACTTTAGGAAAAGTTGCCATCACCACACCATCACACGGAAACTTTGGTTGCCATGATTATCTTCCGCGGATGCGGCTGTGAGTCATTCTTGCGTTCTACTGCTCTGCGCCTTCCAATGTCGCTTGCCGGCCACCAGATCTCCCTTCAGCGAACATGGTGACCATTGGCGTGATGGGCCTGCTGGGCAAGACGACAACCGCCTGGCTGATCCGGGGGCTGTTGGAGGAGCTGGGCCAGACTGTAGGCCTTGTGTCCACAATCGAACATGCCATCGCCGAGGACCGGTGCGTTTGTGCGCAGTGGGGGTTATGTAAAGCGGACGATCATGTAGCATAGGCGGCACGGGTTGCAGTGGACTGACCTCCTCCGAAGGTGGCTGTACTTCGGCAGGTGAATTTGCACAAATTCCGTCTTGATTCGTGTTGTGTATCCTTCAGTTCCCCGCAACGGGCTCCCAGCCAGGCCTACAAAACCCACAGTGTGTGGGCTTGGTAGTGGTAACTCTGCAGAGGCGCGTGGGTAGGGACTGGTGGAAATGAGCGTGTTGCTGATGCTGAAATGTGTGTCCTGGGCATGCATTCTAAATTGGTCGGAGCGCTTCCGGCGCAGAATTGTGGGCTGGGAGCTGGGAACGGCGTCATGCGGCACCGCAAGGCGCGGACTGCGTGGAGGGTTTTGGTTTGCTTGTGGGCATGCCGGCATACTTACATGGTGACGGCGAACCGCAGGTTGGATGAGGACGGTTACTTGTGGGAGCCCATGGAAGAGGACCCATCGGCGGAGCGGGAGTCATCCGTGCCGTTCAAGCTCATACCCTACGCAGGCAAGCGCCAGAGACACGAGTTTGGTCCTTTTCAGTAGGGGGTTGAGGGATGGTGCTGGGATGGGCGCAGCTATCCCGTGTACAATGCTAGAAAAGGAGCGGTGGATTCCGCTGCGATGTTACGCGCCCAGCAGCCATGGGCTGAGGGAGGAAGTGTGACTTGGCAGAGTTGGCGTGGGGGAGATCATTCGGCTGCGAACACACGGTATAGGAAACTCTGGGGTCACGAATGGAGCTTTGCAGATTCTTACAGTGTGGGTACTGTCCCGAGGAGGATGCGGCCTCGGAATCGGGTACGTCGTGCAGGATGCGGATGCGGTGTGCCCTGCGAAGATGTGCTTGCACGTGTCTTACGAGCTCACGCCTTACCATACGGCAAGTATAGGATGCATACGCCTGCAATTGCCAGCCTCCACCTTGCCGCTGGTAGCCGTGGCGTGTTTGTACCGCATCTCGCAGTGCTAATATCGAGGCTTTGCACCGCAGGGAAATATGAGCAGCACTACAAGCAAACGTTACCCGGGCTAAACTCGCAAAAGCTCCTGGCGGGCATGCGCGACCGGGCAGCTGGAGTAGCGGTCATGGAGATGGGGACGAAGGTATGACATGCGTAAGGCGGGCGTCTGCTGGGGTTTGTGCTTTGTAGCGTCGCACTGGCAGCGCAAACCTGCAAACTACCCCTCCCTGCGTTTCTGCTATACGCGGGCTTGCTTTGTGCCTCTGCGTCTCCTCGCATCCAACACTGCACTCATCAGCATAACACGGGCCACACGGCAACTCCAGCGTTCTCTCTATCATTCACCATACGGCTCCTGCATAAGCACCTCCCCTGTGCGCCCCTTCCATAAAACTACTGCGCCTGCCTTGGCGCGTTCTACAGAGCCTGGCCCTCGGGACGTTTGACTATGTGGACTTGAACGTGGCGGTGGTGACTGGCTTGTCGGTCCACATGGGGGTGCCGGCCAGCGAGCAGCCAGAGGACCGGGCGGACGAGGTCCGAGCGGCGGCAGAGCTGGCCATGATTACCCTGGAACGAAAGCTGACGCAGCCAGAGATGCAGGTGTTGGTGATCAATGCGGACGATCCCGCCACCGAGGAGCTACTGCGGCGGCTGAACAACGCGGTGCCGGTCGTCACGTTTGGCATGTCGAACAGCCGGGCGGACGTGTTTGTGGAGAGCTACAAGAACAACATCTGGGAGACGGAGGTGGGGTCGTGGGGATATGGCAGAGGCACAAGCGGGGTTGTGATCAGTGTACAGAGGGAGATGGGGGACCGGCCGCGCGGGGCGCAATAGGAGTAGGGATGGATGGACGCAGGGGATACTGGGGTAAGAGAAGCCTGGCAGATATGGAAGCTTTCTTTTGCCCAACAACGCAGAATGCTAAGCTAAAAATGCCTGGTATAATACTTAGGGTTTGTATGGAGCGCGGCTTTGTTGCGCGTGAAAGCGAACACGTGTCATTATTACGTCGCTCTGTGACTATCCTCGCATGGAAGCAGCCGCCTGAACCGGGCGCGGACCATTTTCTCCGGCGCTTTCTTGCCTCGCAGCATGATTTCCTGATGCCCCTCATAAGCATTAAGCGTGGCATTATATTGGCCTTTGCACGTGGCGTGGTACGCCTTCGCACGAATTTGTATGGTGCAAAGCGCCAACCTCGTAACTTCCGGAATCCCGTTCCCACAGGTCATCATCCGGACGCCGACTGGCCGGTTGCAAATCATCACCAACTTGCTTGGCCGCCACAATGCGTACAACCTGGTGGCGGCAGTGGCTACTGGTGTCGCGCTTAAGGCACCTCTTCAGTCGATTGTGGCCGGCATTGAGGCGGTGGAGATTCCTGGCAGGTAGGTGTATGGTTGGCGCGGTCTCGGTGTCATACCTTTCCACCTATAGTTCATGCACGTGGACTTGCAGCCTGCTGAAGGGCTTGTAAACCTTTGCTCAACACCTGCTTACAGAGCTGTAAAGTGAGAACTAGAATGTGGGGCAATCCCTTCGGCAAGCTCTTCAGCAGACAGGTCTTCTTCGGCGGAGGCTGCGGGAAATGTTGTTCTTGTGAACGCATGGCCTGTTTATGGTGTAGAAGATCCTTTCGGGAATTAGTTTTGGTTCCTCGCCCATTTTCCTGCCAGCTGCTTTATGCCCCAGCATGGACTTCCCGTTGCCCTTGGTTACGTCAACCCACGCGTTCATGACCCCTTGGCCAGGTCGGAGGTCATTGATGAGGGACAGGAATTTAGCGTGGTGGTCGACGCGGCTCAGAGCCCCGAAACGCTCGCCTCTATGCTGGACGCGCTGCGACGAGGAGGGGCGCGGCAGGTATGGACTTGATGACCATGCAGTAAGACCCTGTCGAGGACGTGGAGGATTGGGAACAGCACCAGTAACCATGTTTTGGTCTTCTAGGTACCAGTGGCACCTGTCGACCGTACCTGTACGTTGCACACCCTCTGAGCAGCAAAATGCACTTAGGCCATGCTTTCCTTGCTCCAGGTTTGCGGGCCACTACCAGGACTCGCATGAAGCACGGCAGTTTTCTTTTTATCGGTCTCGTTAACATGAGCACACGCATGCTCCTGTGCTTACCCGCAGATCTTTACCGTCTTCGGCTGCTCGGGCAATGAAGATCCGTCTATTCGGCCGAAGATGGGCGCTGTGGCCCACGCTAAGTCGGATTACGTCATCGTAACCAACGAGAACCCCCGACTGGAGGACCCTGCCAAGGTGGTGGCGGACATTGTGGCCGGCTTCCCGGATGACATCATCAACCGCTACTCCGCATACGCGTACTTCCCCTTCCAGGACCAGGGCCGCACGCCGCTGTGGTTTGAGCCCTACCTCCAAAAAGCGCAGCGCGACAACAAACGGTACGCTCTCCCTAACGGATGTCCCCAAGGTGTAAACATCCCACGAAGCTATGAATTGGACCAAATGGGGCCGTTTCCCAGCGCACGTGCCATGGTCTGCGTTGCCAGTGATATGGCAGGCTTTTATACTGCCCATTGTCTGTTCAAAGCGACTTTACTGGTGAAAGCGTGAAGCCACCTGCCCCCAGTTTGATGCCAACACTTGTCAATACACGTCTTGGTTTGTACCCCCTCCAGGTACATCATGGAAGACCGCTACAGCGCCATTCGGGCGGCCATTGGTACTGCGGGGCCGGAGGACGTGGTGCTGCTGGCGGGCAAAGGCCACCAAGACTGGGTAGAGCATGCTGACACCGACGGCAATATTCTTCGTGGCTGGCTGGACGACCGAGTGGAGGCACGCAACGCGCTCAGCAAACTCAAATACCTCAAGCAGATCCCCAAATTCAACCGCGATACGCTGCCTTGGGGCTCGCGCATTGAGACCCTTATGGAGACGCTAGCGGTGGATCCAGGGGTGCTGACCCGTCCAGGGCCTGTGGACACCAACCTTGATTGAGGGAGCGGTTCACACGAGCCTGAAGGCGCGGCTGTCCAGGCAAACATGCTAAGCCCAGTTCTTGTCTGTGTATGCTCTGCTGTTTTGCGGCGGCCGTTACAAGGATGTACACAATTGGCAGGCCTCCGCACGGACATGTTAGACAGACAAGGTGCGGTGCGCTCAGGACGTGCACTTGAGAAGCGCACTCGCGCTGCTGCATTGTGTGCAGCATGTTTAGAGGCTCCTCTATAGGTCTTGGAGAGACCGAGCCGGGTAGACAGCTTATAGGTCGGTCTGTTCGTTTGTATGTGCAGCTGCGTGCTTATAACTGCGTTGACGGTACAGTTGGAGCATTGCTGCACGCACCCAACTTCTTAAAGCTCGTGGGTAGTGTGCAAAACGTCCACATGATCGACCTGCAGGCCGGCTTTCTTTGGCTTTTTTGACATTATCCACAACAGCCCGTGCTCTAATCGACCAGCAAAATTACAAGCATCAGGTATTATCCATCTACAACACCAGTATGCCTGACGCAATCAACAAATTGCACGAAGATTGATGTACGACGATTCACTTGCAAAGCGCAAAGTTGGGCTCCTGATCACGTCTACACAGATACAATAGTACCGCAAGGGAGATAAACCTTGCCTTGTGGTTATGGAGATGATTGCACATACCGGCCGCTTATGCGGCTTGTGTGCAGTACTCAGAATCCCCATACAGTCAGTAACCCTACAATAAAGAGGAGGCTGTGCGGTGTTGTACACAACGCACAGTCGCTTGCCGGGCGTGCGATCATAGGAGCTCCCAGAGTTTGTTCACCAGCTCAACTTTATCAATGTCCTGGTCAAAGTCAAACATACGGATGTCACCGGTCTTGGCGTCGGAGACGGTGCCGGAGATGGTGGACTTTCCTGGCCACCACGTCACGCCAGTAATGTGCTTGTACATTGACAGCTCGCTCCTGCAGGGAGAGAGAAGGGCACGATTATGCGAAATCCGGAAATAAGAGTGGAGTTGCGATACGACGATGAGATGTAGGGAGCTGAGTTCACCAGTTTGCATTAGCTCACGATGGACAAGATCGGCTGATATGCGCACGTTTAATTGGTAGGAATGACTGAGCCCTCGTGCATATGGATGCCCGGGTGGTGACGAGGAGGTCCCAAGCGGCCAGAACTGACCGTCTCGCCCATTACTGTCACATGGATCAGGTTACTGCTGGGTTACTGACGGGTGCTACTGAAGCTGCTAATAGCATACAAACACGGCATGCAAATTGACTAAGAAGATGTTCCCATGCCCCCCTTTACAGAAAGAGAAAGATAGCCTGGCTCAGTCAACAAGTGCAACAGTGTTCGTTTGTGCCATGCGCATTACACAGTGCAGTTTAATCGTCACTTGACGGCAGCTACACTTCGCTTTATTCGCTGACTCGCCTCTATCCACGGCCTGTTTGAAACATCTTCAAAGATTATATTAGTTTACTCGATAGTATAGCAGGATGCAGGGCCACACACGGAAGAATGACTGGCAAACCCTCCGCGCCGGGAAGGGAAAATGTCACCACACTGCTTACGAGATTTGTTACTCACATCAGGTTGGCCGCCTCGGAGCTGCTCGCGGCTGCTAGCTCACGCGCAGAAGCCATAGCGGCCCGCATCCGGACGTCGATCTCTTCGCACTGCTGTTCTGCAGTCGTGCGTTGTTAAGAGTCCATGCAACGGTTAGGTGGTTAGTCCTTTATGTGTAACATCCAGTCTGTATCGCGAAGGAGCGCCATTATCACTTATCTGGCCTCCATGTCCATATCGTCTATCATGCGCTTAGCACTGTCGATTTGACGCTCCAGAGCCGCTACGCGTTGCAAATGAAACCCCTCCCTGTGCGGATAAGTTGCCGCCTCCTCAAGCTCGCGAGCTTGCCTGGATAGGTCTATTCCAGCACAGAACGATGTCAGCCCGTGCGGTGATATATGAAGGAACGCAAGCGGCGACAAGGCAACAGTACCTTTTATGGTCTGCTGCACGTCCGCCTCTTTCATCGAGCACTTATGCATGGCATCCCGTATATCCTGCTCTACACCAGCCACGTCGTCTATATCGTTGCGTTTGGTGTATTCCTGATACAGGACCTTCATGCTATGGACGTCGTCCACGAAAGCCTCACGAGCCATGTCACAGATAGGTTAATACTTGTTAAGATGCACTGTGGCCGAGTGAGCAAGATATTAGCTCGTGCTAAACCCGATGCAGCTTGACAGCTTGACAAATACCGCAAAGGGCTTACGCCAGGGAAAGCTTCAAAATCTGTGCACGTATGTAAATAAGATAACTTAATCCAAACAGTACAAGGTTCTAGCCATAGCAGGGTAGAACGATTACATGACAACGACTTCAGTTGTAGCCTTCTGCTGCTGGATCCAAATCGCTTACAATGGCAAGTTGGCAGTATCTGACCAACTTGGCAACATGGCAAGTAGCTGAGGAACAGTTGAACATATTGCAAATGGATCAGGTGAATTTTGAGAAGCAATACTTAACGTACCAGGTCCTGCCAACTGCTTGGTTACGGCTGAAGGAGAGATGGTTACGGGAACGGCCTTAGAATTGCTCAACGCTTGGTTCGGCAGTTTTGATGAGCTATGAGCGCATGCCGCTTGGGTTTTCAGGTACCCGTCCCCATTACGCCAGGGAGTCAAGACGTAGCTGTTCCTTCAGTCCCAGCTCCTATGGCACGTTTGGGGAGAGAGGTTTTTGCGGACTGCGGAGGCCAATGCCCGGCCTTTTCGCTATGAGGTCGTGGTTTGCTTGTTTCGCCAGCACACACTGGCGGCACACACACAAAGAAAGCTCCTACCCTCTTCTCCGCTTTTGACGGAAGTTGCTATGCAAACCGCTTGGCATGAAGTTGAATATCAATGTGGGGCGTCGTGAGGTTCTGTGCTTTCATCCTTAAATGGCGGTTTACTAGGCCATGCTGCGCGAGGTGGCCTATTGTTCACACCCTTTCGCTCGTTTGAGGGTGGGTCGGTCTTTGACATAGCGCTACCCGGGAAGGTGAGGGCCAGGATGATAATAATGGGCCGGTTACACCCTTTGAGCTTAATACAGAAAAGTACGGAAGAGTTCCTCACCTCGGGTCGTCGGTATGCTTTAGCTACTCGTCAAACTGAAACGGAATTGGCAAATACAGAAGTACGGAAGGTCGTACGCCAACCACCAGATATCACGCCAGTACAAGCCTATCAGAGTGCTCGTTGCTGTACTTCTGCAGCCCCAAACGAGAACGGGAGCAAGCAGAAGGTTGAATGCCCAAGGAGGGAGGACGCACCTAACCATATGAGTTAAACTGGCATCGGACGAACGTTTAAGCCAAGAATCGCCAAGAAGGGGACGACAGAGACGGCATCGGCCAGTGTCGCCGAGCTTCAGTCCGCTAAGTGCGGCATGAATGCATGTTTGGCCGCTGCCTTCAGCAGTGGCGTGCGGCAGCGTGCCTAGGAAACCCGCTGTGGCGGCCCGCTGAACTGGAGACGGTATTATTAGAGGGACTGTTCTCGTGGTCATTTACAAACCTCTGAAGTTTGTCGATGAGGCGTGTGCATGGCTGAGCACAATGACGCTGTGCATGTCTGGATTAAAGGGTGGTAGCAGTGTGTGTTAGGGTGGTGATGTCCAGTGATACCCAGTCATCATCCCGCACACTTCACACTGCGGTGAATCCGCTGTGTGGGACAGGGGGGGGCATATCTTCACCCGTGGCAGCTACCCGGCGAAACCCTGCCTTCCCCGGTATTTCGGGGCACCCTCATCCAGTCACCCTAGTCAACTTCTCAGTAGATCGCTCAGGTTCCGCACCCACTACCGGCATCCAACGGAATCTGCCGGATCGACGGCGGCCTGACTCCATTCCTGGTCAGCTCGCAACAGCTGTCCCTGGATGGGGGCCTTATGACATGCTTTCTGTTCACAACATTGGGAACCTGGCAGCCTGGGATTCTGAGAGCATGTGTGCCTGGGAGGCTGGGATTCTGAGAGCCTGGGAACCCAGTCTTCAACGCAACTCTGGTATGGCTTGGTTGGCCTGTCCGCCATTCGCTGTGTTGCACAGACAGGCTGGCAGGCGGAATGCCGTACAAGGGCGTAAAACCTGGTGCGGGGCGTGGTGCCGTGTTGGGTCGTGGGGACGTGTGCATGCTGTGCGCCAGCTCGGATGACATACAATGGCCTCTTTCCACCGCCAAATGATTATTAGAGGATTCATTGTGAGCCGACAAAGGGATGGAACGACGTGTTGAACGTGACGGTCAGTCTTTGCTGATTCAGAATCCCTTTCACTAATGCCCAGTGCTTGTGGCCATTACAACGACCTTACTGCATGATTCAATTGTTCCGGTGCGCTGGTGTAATGTTTTGAGGTTGGTTGACCAGTGCGTGTGAGACCGTGTTGTTATTTATGGCGGCTTGCATAACAAATTGCGGGATGCGAGGCGAAGTGCACTCTTGCGTATTTCTGAAGGCAAGGAACACGCAAAATTTCTATTATGATATTCTATATACGCGAATACGTACGTGCGCATACTCAGTTTGTAGAGCGGATCTCACAATGGGAGAAGTATTGAACCGTTACTACTACAGCAAACAAGTGCGCGAACGTGTTTGCCACCTCTATTTCGACGAGAATGACACGCAAGCGCAAATAGCTGAAGCTTTCGGGCACAGACCTTGCGAGAGGACTGTGCATGCTATCATACAGTCCTACGTGGCGAATGGCGATGTCCTGCTGCTTAGAGGACAAACAGGAACACGCAAACCACGCAAGAGGACTCTCGCCAATTGTGGAGTTTAATGGCAAATTCCCCTGTGGTTGCGGGTTCTGAGCCTGCCCTTGGATTTGCTTTTGGCTGTCTAGGTGACTTGCGTTGTCTGGTCTGGGTGGGAGTCTTGTTTGCCCTCATCGTACCAGGTGCAGTGCACGGCCTGCTGGCCCGCTGGCTGTACTCTTTGTGAGTCTGGAGCCCACTGTATAGCTTTCAAAGCTATCTTCGCCCAAAATATATCTGAAATCATTTCCTTGGTCTATTGAGAGAGAATTACTCGAGCTATTGCGAGGTCCCCGTGCACGTGAGAGTCATCAATGTCCGAACCCTCACCTGATGATGCATCCTCCTCACCCACGGCATTCACATCACCATGTATACGATTAGTATAGAAATACTCTTCTACGGGACCTTCGTCTTGATCAGGCTGCATGTGGAGCAAGGGCACATGTTCTTTGGTGGCGGCGTTTTCCGCAGTTTCTTTCTGTGCCTTCGCTACTATTTCTGTCTTCTTAAGGGCAGGTTTTGTTTTCGATGGCTTCTGGGCTCCGGGCAAGTAGTTGTTGATACCGCTATACATGACAGCACAACTACCGCCCAGTATACTTGAATAACATTTCTTTATACTGGAGGACAGCACCGGGGTACGGATTACAGAGAAGGAACGGTTCGGGGAGTACTTTTGAACCATCGTTCATCATTACACCTAATAAGCTTGCAGCTTTTACAGCATCAGAACGTTTTGGAGCTGCTGAAAAAGTACCAAACAAAAATGCAAATTGTTGCGATTTTGACGGGGAGGGTTTGCGTTCCCCGTGTGAGGCCTTGCGCCGTTCCTTTTGGGGTCCCCTTTCCATGACTCTCACGTGCACGGGGACCTCGCCATAGCTCAATTAAAATAGCTTTCAGCCGCAATTTAAAGCGGGGCGATATATGAAAGTTAATATGTTAGGAAGCCAACTTCGCCCACAAATTTATCTGAATTACCGTAGTGCTACTTATAGTTCGTGCTACAATAATTCGGGAGGCACCACGAATATGTAGCACGTACAAATTCTAAGGTATCCCAAGGGACCGCAGCCCCGGAATATCGTACCCTCCGAAGCCGGTCGATCAAACTTCGCAAAAACTAGGATTTCAAGGCGTAAATCAGCTCTTACATAAAATATAGTCATAAACGTAGGACATGAACAACGCTGGAAAACGTGCAAGACAGGCAACCCTGCTTCAATGTGCGGGATGAAACCGCTAGCACCAAACGCTCCGGTGAGCGACCGAGCTGGATTTGTACCAGTTAGGCTTGATGATGCTGTTTTCGAGGCCCAGCGTGAGCGAATGTAGCACGAGGAGGTTGCTAGGCGCGAGCGCAATGCGGTCAATGCTACGGCAGCCGGCGAGGCGAGGCTTGCGCTCACGCCGCAGCCTGGCATTCGACCTGTTGGACGTCCTCTTCAACAAATCCCAAACACTGTATTGGCCCGGCCGGTTGGTTATTAGGTCGTTGCCACTGGTACTGAGCTGTACGATCGGTCCAGAATTTGCTAGGGCGTTTCCAACGTGCGAAAATGGTGAGAGACCATGAGCCTAAGGGTTCCCGGTGGAGGTAGACTGACTGGAAGCTGCAGTTTGAAAAGCCCCGAAACCTTGGAAGGGGCCCCGAAATTTGTATCATGCCCGCAAAATCTGGTCCGGCCTTCCCCGAAATTCAAAGAGCACGTACAAATTTCAGAAAGTTTTTTGACCCCTCCCCGAACAAAGCGATCACGAACTATAAGTAGCACTACGGTACTTGGTCGGGAGAGTGTACTATTTTGGCAATACGGCAAGTTCTGTGACATTTTCAATCCCTAAAATTCAGCTATATACACTGCAAAATATGTGCTATAAACTTGTGAGCTGCTCACAAGCAATTCAAGAATGTGGCTTCCCGCCGCCAGACATAGCTAGGGAACTCAACACCGTATCGCAATGTACGTCACAGGTGTCCAAAGCTCTTCAACCAAGAGGTCTGACCGAAATAAGGACTAATTCACAACAACACCTATGAGAAAGCGATTTTGGCGAGAACTTTGGAACTTTGGTATTTTTGGAAATGCCAATGGAAAGACCCTTCACTTACCTGATTATTCTTCCTGTTGCACATAATATGCAGACAATATGTGCGGTACCTCAAGGTTCACAACGACTTCTACATGCAGCCGTTGGCAGACATGCTACTGCAGCGATTGTAGCTTCCCAGACCGACGACCTTGCGCGTCCTAGTTAAGCTTAAGCCTAATTAAGGAACTTTTTTGTAAATGATCTGCATGAGTCTCATGAATTACATCGCACGGACCTCATAGACGTTTAATCTAATCTCTCCAAGCAGCAAGCGCAATTGGTGATCCATCGATAGCTAGCATTCGATTGCTGCCGTTGCTCCTAACTGTCGTTTTTATAAGACTGTTTGCACACGGCATCTCGAATATCAGCAGCCACTGGCCACGCGCTTACATCATCTTCTGTATTGCTCTGCTTTCAGCAAATTAAACGAGGCATTCCTTTAGCGAAGTTACTTATGCAAGACAGTAGCACTCCCGCATGTTGCATAGCACAGTAAAATTTTCGATCACCTATGGGCGTGGCCTATAATAATAGGTAGGGGCGGTCCCTACCTATTATACGAGAGCGTCACCTAAAACTCTTTTACTGACGCCATCCGCTAATGATTGTAGTAGGGCCCCAGCATCGGTTTCTGCGACCAGCGATGAACTCTGCGCGCTGCACCCCACCGCCCACCGCCCTCTTGCGTTGCCCCCACACATGCCCCGGCTGTCACAGCGCATCCGTGTATTATCCGAGATCTGCAACGCGCCCGCTAAAATCCTGTCCTCTCCGAGAGAGATAATGGTACACGCATAATTTTACCGACGTAATAAAAATAATTTTACCGTGCTCAATAGTCCAGAGACGTCTTACAAACTTCCAATGAAACTGTAGACGTAACTTGAACTTAACAAGTGAATGTCGATTAGAAGGGTGACGTCAAGAGACCGTAGAAATAAGCGGCGCTGTAGTGGCGAATGGCGACGGGGTGGTGGGCGGCTAGGATTGACTTCAGACAACGAGGGCACATAAAGTCCAATTAAATCGAACCTAAAAAAATGTGGAACCAAAAATCTCCCTCCCCTACCTCTCCTTTTCCAACCCCCCTTGTAAGGGACTGCATTACCGCGGCAAATCAACTTCCTGCTTTCATGGGAAGCGTTCGTTGTGCCGGTGGCAGCCTGCAGAAGAACGTATTTTCCTATCCTCAGCTAGACGACAAAGCAGAGGGGCATGCTACCACAGCGCATGCGATGCGACGACAAGCAGCTGCTTAGGATAGGAAAATACGTTCTTCGGTTCTATCTAGATGGGACTTTAGGTGCCGTCGTTGTCTGTAGCCAGTAGTTCTAGCCGCCCACTCAAACCCCTAGTCGCCTTTCGCCACAACAGCGCCGCTTGTTTCTACGAGCTTTTGACACCACTCTCACAATCAACAGCTACAGTAAATTCACATTTTCTATTGTTAATTTTAACGTGTCGCTGGACTACGAAGTAGGATCACTGCACAAGTGTACGGAGCTCGCTTCGGTAAAGTTATTCCTGCTGCTATACCACCATGGACATTATCCTCGTCGCGGCTCATATCATAGAAACACAACTTGTTAAAAGAGACAAACCGAAGGTCACGACTGGCTGCGCAGCCAGTAGTGCCCGTTGCACGTCGCTCGCTATCGACTGAACAAGCAAGGCCGGCGGCGGCAGGACAGCTGCACGGCAACCAAGCATGTGTGGCCTAAATCAATTTGACAGATCTGCTTGGATTAAGTTTGGTAAGTTATGTTCACGAAAATATAATTTTTAACGCTGCAGGGGCGCTCAACTGGCTTTACCACTATTTGGAAACTGCACTCACTCACTCACAGCGGCCTCATCGTTCCAATTTTGCAACTACAAGCTTCCCTACTTAATTAAATGCTTCTGCCAGTTTTAATTCTTTACCTGCTGGCCTTTGGCGGCGCTCTCGCTGCGCTTTCAGATTATAGAAGCGCTACAGCGCAACTAAAACGTTTACATGCAGAGCTCAGGTACGTACATGCAAGACACACGCATAATACGATGTCAATCTGGCGATTTATGGCTATCTGCCAGATATTGGGGCTTCTGACAGCGCCAATAACAACCTACAACAGGACCAAACAGGCCTTAACAGCCTGTTAAGCACTGCTGACAGCCCTATTGAGTTGGTAGGGGTTAACGTTGCGAAATGAAATACAAAGCAAACCAAGCAAATTTCACCGCCAAAAGCAAACGTCTCTAGATAAATTTGTTATCATCTATAGACATGCTATAGACATTCTACTTCTTCTATTTCAGACCTACATATTCTACGATGACCCTGTGACGATAAAAACTTTATTACCGACGAATTTCCCCGCCAAAAACAATTTTCTCGCTGCCTTGCAGCGACCTGGACCGTCATTCTATCTGTCAGGGCCCGCGTTACGATAGCAGGCATATGGCTGTGGTTCCGCAGCTTGCCACTTGTTCTGAAGATCCCTCGCTTAAACCTCCTGACCAATGCAGTGCTGACGAGCGGCCTAGTAATGACAACGGGATGGCCGGCACCGCGGCTAGTGGGACAGCTGCTGCTGCAGGTGACGGCGAGCAGAACCTGCGATACTTCACCCGACGACAGCTTCAAGCAGGTGTGTATGTTCATACATGCGTCCACATGACAAAGTAGCTGGCTATAAATCTAATGGATAGGTAGGCGCTTACATACACTGATGGGTGAGCCCCAAATCCGAAGTGCGCATGTCCAGGTTAGTGAGCAGAGGATGGAACACACCTCCCCGGAAAGGAAGAAGAGGAAAAGGTAAAAAGGAGAGTTTACTCCAGGACCGTAGAACCCGCAGCCAGACTACAAAGGGGTTCGCCCTCTCTGAGGTGCCAATTACCATTAGGTATAGCTAGGACAAGGTAAGATTACGCTAGGGTAAGGCAGGGGCCTACGTACCATTGGATGACCACACACCTACCCCATGGCCAGATCTAACTACTACATGCGCATGCACCTGCACACCCGCACTGCTGTTGGCGAAACTAAGAAAGAGAGAAATTCATTATACAATCAAGAGTTATTCAAATGTTGATTCCTGGGCGTATCACGTGTCTGACATCCACCGCCGATCGGCGAATCGGTAATTCCCTGATACGACATCCGCAACTGTATTATGTCCCACAACATGTCCCGCAACAAAATTGCGTGACCAAGCAAGCCACAAATAAAGGTCGTTGACAGTTGAACATTATATTAAGCGCTGCGTCTGTAAATTGTTGGATTGTCTAGCTATTGCCGATCTTTTGTATATATAGACGGGTCGTTTATAGAGACATCTCTATCAGACGACGTGCTACGATGTAGACGACTCGTAGGTCTGCAGCCAATCAATTATATACATATATCAGGCGGGTCGTCTATATAGGGGTCGTTCACATTCATTTCGTCGGTAAAATATTGTATGATGATCTATAGACTGGATCATCGTATAACAGATAGGACCTGAATTTGAATTTTTGAAATGTATCAAATGTATTCGAATGTATTCAAATGTATTTAAATGAATTCAAATATATTCAAATGTATTTAAATGAATTCAAATATATTCAAATGTATTCAAATGTATTCAAATACATTCAAATCCAAGATAGGACCTAATAGATATATAGAGATAGATCCATGATGGAATGGAATGGTGTATAGGTATTCGTCGTGCCATGGTACAATAGATAGGCCTGAAAACATACAGGTGACTCGATAGACACTCCTCAAATTTATAGACTTTTTTCTTATGCATTATAACGTTGTTTACCTTTTTTGTGCAGCCTTGCTTCGGCTGGCCCTTGGGCTCCGCCTCGTATTCTGCTGTTAACCTTGTTTGTACATACGTACTTGATCACTCAAGTCCATAAGTAGTCACTGTCTACAAGCCATGTTTCAAATGTCCCACGGCTCATGGTCGCAGATTCGCTTCCGCCTCCACCTCCAACCATGCCCTGGCTACGCTTTTATGCTGCATGGTACAAGGGGGCAGGTGAGCTCTTTATTGGTTGTTAAACTATCAAATATTACTGTGGTAGCAGGAATAAGGGTGTAATATGTACAACTAATAAGTAATGCCGTTATTACGCCCCACAATGCATGTGTATAGTAGCTGGCTGCTGGTCGCTGAAAAGGCTCCTCGACACGCTGAGATGCACGATTAATATAGACAGGGTCGACCATCGTACAATATATAGATGTATAGGGCCGAGAAATAAATGGTTTATAGATTCATGGTGTGGAGTGGTCTACGTATAGATCCTGCCATGTTGTTGTTGTTACATGGTCGTGGGTGCGTTCCCCGTACCTGCAAACCACCCTAATACGAGCCGAGGGCTCAAGGGCCATGTATGGTATAATAGGTCTACGTAATAGATAGGCCTGATGATAGATGCATGGTTTATCGACAATCTTCAGTATTAAAGACGCTATAGCTCGGAGCTACAGCAGATATTTTTGTATTTGATGGTGTCTGCCGTACTGTGCGGCGGGTGTTTAGTCCTTTCCATTTTAACGGTTATTTGCGTTTAGGCCCTTTGCACGCTCACCACGTCGGACATTTATATACGCAAGTGGGCTGTGTAGGTCACGAAAATTAATTTCATTAAAATAGTGTTATAAATTATGTAGGTAGCTGCTTAAACTCGGACGAATTTTTGAGCAAATCCCGCCAATCCAGCCAGGGGAAAGCAGTGATTTTTTTCGTTTAGGATGGTTCTCAATTTATTCCCACCTAAGTGACGAAGTTGCTAGGGCTGTCGTTATTTATTCCTTAATTGTGGGGCACTGGGGGGCCCTCCGCCTCCACCCCCGACCCTCCCGATAAGTTACAGCTCCTCTCGTGGACCAAGGGTCACGCACTGAGTTGGCGCGTTTTCCTTCGTGTGTGCACTCTTCGTGCACATGCGTAGGTAGTTCTGGCATTGTTTGTGAGTAGTAAGTAAAATCGACCAAGCAAAGGCCCAAAGCACGCTTAAGTATTGCCTTGTGCGTGTTTGGTCATGTGAGCACCGGTCATAAATGCCGGTATGCCGCGTTGACTCACGGGCGTGACCTTCTTATGGCCGTCCATGGCCCCTCATATCTATTCTATGATTGCAAGTACTACGTTCTGCACACTATGGAGCAACCTGGCAGCAATGGACGTTTTTGGCTGGAGGAATGAAAATGTACGGGTCGGCCTCAATCTATTCCTTTTTTCAAAAGGCCAAAATGCCGATTTATTTTTTCGGAAATTATTACTCTATAAAAACGCTGGGGGAAAGAGGTCCCAGCAGCAGCCAAGGAAGGCTGCTGCCTGCTGCCTGCTGCTGCTGTAAGTTTAAAGGAAAAAGATTCATGATACAGAATGGTCTATAGATCGTGATAGGAATAATAGATACGTCTGCTGAAAGTAGATAGTCTAAAGACACTCCTTAATTTGATATCCAGACGGCAAGCTGCACATTTTGCTGCTTGCCAACACATGCATTGTGGGGAGTGCACGATGTGCGCTGCTACATACTGGTGAATGTGAAGGCGTATGAGACCGTAGTCTCGGCGGGTTGGGGAGGACGGATTCGCTCGCTCGATCGGTCCGGCGGCATTCTTTTGGTCGACGCAAATCCCAGCAGCTGAGCTTGACCCCTCTGTCGTCTATCCCCATCTCCCAGCCGCGCGATCCATCCCCAGCCTTAAAAGTTGCTGGTCGGAATAGCAAGCTTGTGCTAAAGGAGCAGTACGTTTTCATGGACATTTTGTGTTCTAAGCTTCAAAAAAGTACAGATCCCGTGCAGATACAGTGATATGCCCACAATACGACAACCGCCGTGCTACTCAGGCCCGTCGGCTGCGTTCCGGCACTAGAGTGGAATCAGCTGTTCAGATAGCTAATGCAGCACGGGAAGCGTATGATGGTCATTGAAGTGGATGTGGGTTGCTTGTGCTCCCGACGGCATTAAAAAACGTTTGGAGCACTTAAAGGCATGTGTGTACCGCAAAAGCATCACCTGGAGTTGATTCGTTTCCTTCTTAGATGCAGACGAAGATCATCGCAATTTACATCTGGAGAGCAAGTTTTGACATATTGCTCGTTTTACCTAATAAAACCCTATCTTATATATCCTATTGCTCATAAACCCTAGCACATAAAACCCTGTCGCACCTAGATTGCATCATTTTTGGACCTGCACAATCGCGCAAGCGGTCATTGACCAAATTGCTTTGACTAGGTCCGTCAATTTCGCGCGCGGAAGAGTTTGGCTAATGGGACCTCGCTCCAGCTGGAGATGCATTCGTGTGTGAGATGTAGTAGTCCTGTCGATCGGGCCATCCACAGAGTAATTGTTGACTTTTGGGTGCGTTTATGTTCCTTTACCGCATGAGGCCGACCTAAGCGCGGCGTGTTTGGAACACAGTTGGAGCGTGCCTAATAATTGCGCTTCCGGGGCAGCACCTTCACCAAAGCCGTAGCTGGAGGACTTCTGCATGCACGAGTAGCTCGTCCAGGCAACTGCCCCCTAGCTGCTGAGCCTTGGGAGCTTCACGTCTCTGGACTGCCGTAGGGCATCCCCTGTAAATAGGGTGCTGCTCCCTGCGGTCTGATACTTACGTTGTTGCTGCAACCTGCAGGATTTAAAACGCGTAAACTGGTGCCTTATGACTAAAAGCAAGGCACTAAGATTACTGTCCTGACACGCTGCTGCGGTATTTGCTGTATGTTCGATTTCATCCCTTTGCAGTACCTGTTAATAACGATTTGGACCTCTGGGTACAATGGGACTACGGTGGCTCACGGTATGTGATAAGTTATTTCTCTTCAGATGCCGGGGTCCACGAGGGCGACAACTCTGGCAATTCCAGGAACTGGGAGGCCATCTCCTGGGGTAATGCTAGCCAGTCCCCCGATCCAGCTGAGTACAGAATTTGCCTCTCATTGGGCAACAGTGGTTACATGACATTCAATGTATCCCTGACCACCTACGTCGGCAACATCGTCGTGAGCACAACGCAGAAGTTGCTGAGACCTGTGAAAAACTTTTATTCATGTACAATATCTGATGCTACCTACCTTGCAAGCTTCACATACCCTCTGCCGCCGCCGCCACCACCAAAGCCGCCATCACCACCAATACAACCACAACCAACATCACTAACTCGACCATCACTGCCACCACCAGCACCACCAGCACCACCAGCACCACCGCCACCATCACCACCACCACCATCACCACCACCACCACCTCGCACAACACCGCCACCAGGGTCCCCGCCAGCACCGTCCTCACCCTCGCCACCATCAAACAGAGGAACACCGGTGGACGCTACCTTACTTGGACCAAGTACCCAGGCCGGAGTGTCCGATATGTTTGCAGTCACCACATCCCCCCCTTCACGAGGCGCCGGTGTGGCTACCGGTGTCAGCGCTGCTCCAGCAGCGGTTGAGCCTGGCAAGGCAGCACCCACACCCCTTGCTGATACACCGTTGTGGGGCCTTCCGGGGGCCACCCCAGCTGCACCTGCTACCGGGGAGGCGACAAAGGGACGGAGTGTACCGCTGGCGGCAGTGGTCGGGGCAGTGAGTGCACTTGGTGCGGTGGCAATCCTTGCCGTACTCGCACTCGTCATAATACGGAGGCGCAGGGCGCGGCGTGTGGCTCCGGTGTACCTCAGCCCTTACCAGATTCCTGATCCCGGTTTGTTAGATGAGCCACGAAATGGGGCTACGTAACAATTTCAGGCTTCCCATGCATGCGGGGCTGGACCGCGTGTTGCTAATGCGTGTGGGGCCTTACAAAGGCTTCTCATATACAAGTGCAATCCCTACCAACTGATTGGGGCTTCTGATAAACAGCGCCAAACAGGGCCAAACAGGCCTTAACAGCCATTGGCAGCCCTAATGAAATGGTAGGGAATTGCGCCTCAACCTAAGAAAGTAGTCCTAGCAATAACTTTAGCGAGCCCTAGGTGCCGTGGTGCGAAGGGTAACTAGCATACGAGCAGAAGAGTGGTGGCCGCGGAGGAGAGCTATAGACGGCTGAGGCGAGTGAAGTGGTAGGTGCAGCCCGTGCGGTGGGGTGCTGGGTGGGCAGCAAGAGGCGCGTGGTTCGGCCATGGATATACTGCTGGCGTGTGCTGTCTTGTACCATACGCTAGCCCGTACTGCGCTAGTGATACTGTGTTGTCAGGGGCTGACACATATATATGCATGTAATAGTACGGCGCACTTGATGTCTATGTATTTATAAGACGCATCTTACATGGCGTAATCGTACATAACAATCCTGTGCTTTATTCACCATAATTTATCTTATTGGTAGGACATCCTTGAAAACGGATGTCACGACACGACATAGCTGCATGACCGTTAACAGCCAACGACCGTTTCGCTCTTAACGGTTACGCAATGTTGTTGCGCAGCAATTCCAGAGAAGTCATGTTTCTTTTATCCATCGGTTGAGCAGTGTGTTAGGAATAGCAAAGCGCCGGATCCCCCGGGTCCTATTACTGCTGTCTAGTGGGTTGCAAAGATTGGGGATTGGGGGCAGGTACTGGTCAGGCGGGATGGGGAATAGGGTGACGACGTCAGGATGGGATGTGGGGGCCAAGGCAAGGATTAGGATTTTGCTACACTAGTTTCAGAATGGGGATTACTTTCGGGGTGAGGATGGGGATGGGAACCCTGTCAGAGGGATGGGTATTGAAACCTTAGCCAAGGATTGGGAACCCTGGCCAAGGATGGGGATGGGACCCTGGCTGACAGGATGGGGATTGCAGGCTGTCGCAAGTTTAGGATGGGCTCGCTGCCATAGAGATTGCGGACACAGCAGGAGGATTAGGATGGGTGTGCCGCGGTAAGATGAGGCTGCAGCCCTGCGCCTAGGTGCAGAATGGGGAATACTGACAGGACTGCAACAGACTGATGACGGATGGTGTCGTTGTCCATAGTTGCTTACATGATGTGCTGTTACTTATGACCCATCTCACAGAGTCTGGTGAAAGTGTTTACATGGTCACCAACGCCAGTACCAAACATGCACTTCATCCAGGCCAGTTTTGTTCACACACTTCAACCCGTGGGTCAGCAATATGGTAAACCAAACACTGTCTTCGCAAAGCATGGCACTCCTGCCCAACAGCATCATAATCAGCTGTCCAGGTATAGCCCATGCCCATCTTCACCAGCACCACAACGGGCCTCACATCCCCCACTTGACTCACATGTGCTGTCACTTTTCGCTGCTGATGTATGAGTGTCGGTCACTTTCGAACACATCGTTATTTATGGTCATGTATCGTTATTTATTAAAGGTGAAATGGTGGAACTGGTTGCGCTGATGACGAGGGTTGGTGTGTAATAATAGTCGGGTTCCTGCACAGGAAGCCGCCTTCTTGGGCGAGGCCCCGGGCGCGAAGCGCCATTCAGGGCCCCGACTCCCCGGTGTTCACTGCTGTCATTGAGGTGTCATTGAGGGTCACAATAACTGAGCGAAACCAAACCGCAAGACACGGCATCATAAATTTTACGGTCGTGCGATCAATACGAATCAGTCCTTATGCACGAGTCAGTCTTTATGCAGTGAACAAACGCGCCGCAAACGTACAACCGTTATAATATTTGCTGTAAGTATAACGGTGTTCGGGCCCGTCCGGATACAAATTGGTTAGAACGCGACCAATCATGTCTACCTTGGTAATCCTCGACCAAACGGAAGGTTGCTACATGGCTTCAACCTTGAGAACCGACCCAGAACTGATATCTGGGCCTTGCCTTACAGAGGGAGCTATTGATCGAGTTGTTGTTAACTTTTGGGGCCGCCTTCGGGGTTTTGCAGCTCTGGGAGTTCCACAAAAGGGATGGGATTCACCCTTTCTTGTGGATTGTGTCGGACAAGTTGTTGTGCGCACGGCCAGAGTGGACACAGACCAAGATTAGCTGTTAGCTAAGGCCTCATCTATAACAGCGTCCAGGTTGCTGTCAGGTTGTATTGGTGTGTGTTCTTGTGAAGGTCCGTGGCCTTTCGCAAAGTCCCCTAAGGTCCCGGGTTTCGGAGCCGTCCCTTCGGATTCGCTTTCTTCCATCTAGATGACTTGCGTTGTCTGGTCTGGGTGTGCGTCTTGGTTGCCCTGATCGTCTCAGATGCACGGCCCGCTGGCCCGTTGGCTCCACTCTTCACGAGTCTGGAGCCCACAGTAATAACCGTACACACAACAGGGTGCTATTACAAAACTGCCACTTCTGCGCTCCCGGAGCGCCGCAGCTATTGGCCGGCATTGCTAAAACACATTAACCCGGCTTCACCGTAAAGAGGACTCTTTCAGTGGCGGTGCTTGCAACTCAGACGTAATTCCATGGAGTATTCGGATCATGCGACCGTCGCAAATCCAACATGTTCTGTCATTAACTATTAGGTTTCTATTTTCATGCAGATAGGCCCGGCAGAGGGATGCAAAGTGGTCCTAATCCTCTAATCCAGGGGGTGGGTACCGGTCTTATGGGCTCACTACACCCCTCTGGTAGCGCAGCCGAGGTGTAACATACACCCCACACACATTTATAATAATTATGCGCACAGAAATGCAAATAGTATCCGTGCTCTGCAGCGGGAAAAAATTGTATGCGAATGCGTTCCCGCAAGTTCATTGAAATCGCCTCGGAGCAGTGGATTATCCACTGTGGATAGGATGTTTGAACCATTGGGAATAAAATTATGTTACGCACTGCAGACAGACCTTCGTTGCTTTGCCTAGGTATCCTAAACGTTTCCGCTGGACGCTGCACCCTGCCATAACAAAACAATAATCTCGCTTATATAATGTGTAGTAGCGGCTAACCAGTCCACGCACTATATTCGGCGGATTTGGGGCAGCACCGCTGCGCACGTACGCGGCACTTCTGCGAACGATGACGAACGACGTGACTTCCTTACTAACGAACTATTCTAGGGCTCGACAATTTGTTGTTGATTCAGCGGAGCCTATTTTTTTACTGAAATTAACAAAGCAATCCAGAAGAAGACGGAAAGCTCAAGTTGGAAAGCTGCATTACGGTATTTCCCCATCCAGCGGCAGCAGCAGCAGCAGCAGCAGTAGTCCTTGCAACACCTGTTGCGTATGCTGCTGCTGTTCGCAAACTACGATATACAACTCTATCATGTTCCATCCCTTCCATACAGCATGTTAAAAAATAGGATAATCAAGGAGAAGGTTACGTATACAAAGGGTATCTACCAACTTCGCATTTACCCTGCCCTAAGCGTCATGGTTAACATGTCTCAGGCCCAATTACTTGCCCTTCTATGCTTAGTAACGCTCCTAGTGCCGCTTCGCAGCAGCGCAGCAGATGGCAGGAGGGCGGTGCAGCAGCGCGATACTACTGCGCGTGAACAAAGCTCGCCCCAAAATTACCGGGCTCCAATAATGTCGTACCCAAAAAGCGGACGCAAAGCTGGCCCCAGTTCTCCAACGCCATCCCAGGCCGCCTCTGAGGGTGAGCCGGTTGCGTGGGGGCGGGGGAGGCGCCGTGGGGGCCCTGGGTCACTATCATTATCGCTCTCTCCGTATCCAAGTATTATCCCACCGGCATACCGGGATGATGCCCTGTGCCTACCTGTATCCTGCCTCCTACCTGACTGCGCTCCTGGTTGCTTGCTTGTATCTGCCTGGGAGGTTTCTCCTATCTGTATACACGGCATGCGTGCCGGCTGGCGGCCAGGCTGCAACCAGATGGCGGGCGGTGTGAACCCAACACCCCTGCTCGCGAGATCCTCGCGCCCCCTCCCAAGAGTACGGAGCTCCTCGAGGGATATACGCAATAATGCGCTAAACACAACTAATTATTAACCTGTGCTTGGAAATATATAATCTTATGATTCATGCCGACGCCCCCGTTGATTTTTGAATACACGAGCAGTAGGTGCGACGGGCCCTCACCCTTCGACTGGCGTAAGTAAGGGACAAGCGAAGAACTCACACGCGCATATGTATGTGTGGATAGCTATATAGACCTAAATACAGACATACAGCAGCCGGATGCATTTCCGTAAATCTACCGTTTTATAATTGGTTTTATGGATAAAAAAATTTCCTTCCTGTTTTTTGGTGATTTGTGCTGTTCACATACATAAAGATTAAGAGGTGCCACATACGTACAGAGCCATGAGGCAAGGGAACCGCATCCAATAACATTATCCCTCTACCTCTCTTATCACCCCACCTCAATGCATATATCCCCCAGCGGGTGATGTACCCTACGGAACATGGCCTTACCCATGCACCCATCCATGCACGCACCCATGCACGCACCCTGCGGCACACACACATAGAGTGTCCGTACTTGGCATGCACACAGGCGAGCGGAAGGTGTACGAAGACACGTACGAACACTCCACGGCTGCCGTACTAAAGGGAGGCCGCAGCGGAGTCACACCAGGAGTTACAGCGGCCGCCATGCCCCACGCCGCCGGCACATTTGACCGTCCGATCCTGTGCGAGGACAACGACCAAGGCTCCGCCACCGCCGCCGCTGATAATACTGGCGGTGCCAGCACTTTGCACCGTGGACTGCTATCTTTGCCATCTCCTTCTGTCCGTGCGAGTGCGAATGAGAATGCCAGCCCTGGGGGTGGTGACGCTTCCAAGGTTGAAGCTTCCGATCGGCGAACCAACACGATCACTGACACTGTCGTCTTCCTGCTCAGCTTCTGCGGCTGGAAGAATCCCCACACACCAGAATCTTTCCGGAAGTTTTGGCTCAACGACCCAAGCACAAGGCCCGACGAGTGGACAATGCAGAACTACTTCAACTACTGCTCGCAAGGCGCCGTGCAGCTAACAACTGACACCCTCCGGGTCTTCGTGGTTCCTGTAAGTCCTCCCCTTGCATGCATGCATGCATCCGGCTCGCCAAGACGGGCGGCCCCGTTATAGGACAGAATTGAAGCCCAAACGGCTTGTTGTGCATCATCGCCCTCCAAGTTACGACACAATAGCGGCTGCACCCCGTGGCGTGTATTGGTATCCATGTATTAGCCCTGCTGCCTGCCTACCGATATATGGGCTTGATGGGATAGACAAGCAAGGGTGTGCGCGCGATGTTTGGGCGCATGCATGAAGTGTAAGAGTGTGTAGCACGTGCACATGCATGCGAGGAATACGTACCGCCGGCGGCGGCCCCTCTATCTATCTATTAGATTAACTGACTGACGTTTTCCCCACATCCCTGATACCACGCACTTCCGCTATTTCTATTTCTCACATCAGTTGCCATACTGCATGGGGGAGTTCTTTGACAAAAGCACGGCCAGGACCAAGACGTACGACTTCAATACTACTTGTGGCGTGGCGGTGAGTCGGGAGCGAGCGTGTGCATTCTTGCCTGCGTCTGAGTGCCATATCATGATTGATTGATTGACTGATTTATGACAACGTTGGCTGGGGGGGGTCATCATGGAATCGGACGACCGATCTGCTCTGGGCGCTAGACCCCTAGCCGGTGTTTTACACCGCTGCTACTGACCGCACCACCCCGCACCTGCTGCCCACCCTCGCTTTATTTATTACCTTGGTTCATGGCTGGGCCATTGAAGTATCCTGTAGGGTATATCACGGGATCTGCATCCACCGATCGGTTCTTGAAAAGTCGTGATAGCCATGAGCCTGCAGAGCGGACTCCCTCGCCCCTGCCTGATGTTTCCTCTGGGCAGGAGGAGGATGCGTGGCACTCGCTCTCCATGCAGTACGTGACAGACGTTCTGGGCCAGAGAGTCTCAGGCGCCACGCACCAAATCGCCGTTTTGCCGGCTGAAGGGCCATGCGAGTATGCAGGTGCAGCTGTTGTAGCAGTAGTAGTAGTAGTGGCTGGCCAGCTCGTTTCGGCGGATTAGGCCTTAGTTTGTCGTGTAGATATGTTTGCATGCTGTGATGGGTGTGGGGAGTCCGATATTGCTTGTTGATGCATATTGCACCGTACCTAATACCCTGCGCACATGTGTCCATCCCCCTACCAAGCATTCAGTAATTTGGGTGCCTAGCGGATGCATGTACCATATAATGTATGTCGGTAATTGACAGTACGCAAAGGTTGTTGCTAACCCGCAGGCGTGCAAGGATGATTGGTGTCCCGCACGTCCCGTACATCCCGTACATCCCGCACGCCGCCGGCCGCCTCCCTAACAACGAATGGCCAGCAGTATAAATAAAGCCGGCATCAGTAAAAATCAGAAACCTATGGTCGGCCGACCGGTCAGCTAACGCCCAATACAGGCATAACTTGATAGGAATATATGTGTGTACGTATGTACGTCATATCCGCGTACGTATGTCGTCTGCTGTCGCCGCAGTAAAATGGCAACTGCAGTCGCGAATTGCTATGTGGTAAAAAGCTACGATCCTTGCGATGCATCATGGGGGGCTACGTGAACTTCGTCTGGTGAATTAAACTAGCGTAAGAAAAGGCACATGTACACATACATACATACGGTACGTGTATACATGTATACATACATACATACATACATAAAGTACATGTATACGGTTTGACGCCACGCTACACCACGCCCCGCTACGTAGGCAAGGCCACCGTGGGATGTCGCGGAAGCAACTGCCGCATCAACGTCAATGGCAAGCACGCCAGCGAGCACTGGGTCTACATGCACGAGATGGGACACAACCTCAAGCTCGCCCACTCGGGCGCTGCTCGGCGGGGTGGCGGCACGGACGAGTACGCAGATTACTCGTGCACGATGGGAAGGTAAGTTCGGCAGAAGATTCATCTGGTCGTCATCTGGAGTTGCACACCGCACCGATGGCACCGCACCAACACCGCCGGCATCCATTGACGCATGCATGCATGATCGCATGTATTGCCCTCCTTTTTATATGATGCTCTGCTGTTGATCCTCTGCTGTTGATCCGTTCGTTGGTCCGTTTTCGTAAATTATAAGACGGTGTATGGAGGGGATAGTGATCGTGCTGCATGGGCTCTTCATTTTTTCCATGCATGCATGGTCCATGTATGTATGTATGTATGTATGTACATGCACGATGCGTGACGTTCCATGAAGGGCGCCGTCCTGCATGACGGCCCCCCCTGCATGACCTACCCCCGCCCTTACACGCTTCCTTTAAACCCCGCCCTTGCTGGTCATCAAGCGATAATGAGGACTCAATCATTGCGAGCGAGCCTGCGGCATGCATGTTCTGCTACATACGTCCAGCTTCGTTTACATAATAATGCTTTTGTACGTACACATGCATGGTGTAGGGGAAGTGGTTGCTACAACGCCCCCAACCAGTGGCGCCTGGGCTGGTCATTGACCCTCCCTGGAGCCGACTTGAACGGAACCTCACTAGATCTTGGCCGGCCTCAGACGTTCACACTTCCGGCACACACCACGGCTTTAAGATCGATGATCCGCGTCAACCCCAGCTGGGCCATCCGGGGCGGGGAGACCCCGAACAGCAGATTAACGTCCGTGCCTGTTTACTACATCTCTCTTCGTTCAAGCAACCCCCCGTTTGACGTCCTTAGCAACACTAGAGACCCCGGTGTACATGTCCATACCTACCGCGGGTTGCAGGTACGTGCCTGCATGTGCATGTATGATGTGTGGGACAGGGGGGGGCCATAGCTTCACCCTGCGGCCGCTACCTGGCAGACCCCAGACGCCTTCCCCGGTATTTCGGGCACCCTCATCTAGTCACCCTAGTTAACTTCTCAGTGGATCGCTCAGGTTCCGTACCCACCACCGGCATCCAACGGAATCTGCCGGGTCGACGGGGGCTCAGCTCCATTCCTGGTCAGCTCGCAAGTCAACTTTGTCCTAGGTCACCACCGTCCATCGATTAGGGGCACTTTACCTTCCGTCCTTGACAGGTTGTTAAGCATCGGAATTGATGTTCAAGGGTTAGTTAGCCTGTAAACAGAATTATGCACGCACGCATCGCACAAGCGATTAGCGCTTTATGCGCAGCAGTAACAACCTCACTAGTCTAACCGCACCCTTGCTGGTGCTCACAAATCCATCCGTCACCGTTACTGTTCTCTTCCATTACTCGAACGGGCAAAGCTAAAAACTTTGATTCCTGTGTCAGCTTAGATAAGGTACATAGCTGGTTTCCCTGTCCAAGTAACATCGTTAGCTGCCATATGTATGCTAGAACTGGCTAATGCTATAGTTCCCGTCGGCGTGGTTGACAGGACAACACCTACCCATGCTAGCCTATCAGCCTACTGTGAAAACTCTGAGAATCCAAACCCACCTGCCCACCTGCCCACCCCCGTCGTTCCTCTCTGTGACCTGCTGCTGTTCGGTCATGCACGTGTAAAACAAAAGTTCGAGGGCACCGCGACAGCGACACTTCAGCAAGCCGTCCTCGGCCCGAGTGGCGAGTACAGAGACGTGTTGCCCTTCGGCCTGGTGGTGCGGGTGGTCTCAATCAACCGAACCAGCGCTGTCGTCACCGTGTGTCGATCTGGAGGACTTCGTGAGGCCCAGGGCGGCGACTCGTGCACTGATGGTAGCGACAACGACTGCGATGGCCTAGTGGTGAGATGAGATACCCCGTTTGCCAGTGCACGTGTTGAAGGAATGCATGAGGGGGGAATGCATGCAGGGAAATGCGCTACGCACTGTGCGACTCTAGACGAAGCAGCAGGCGCATGGATGGAGCAAAAGCAGGGGAAAGGCGTGTTGCATGTGAGCAAGTTCTACGGCGGACCAGCAAGGGCACGCGAGTGCGCAGGCGCGCGTGTGGGGTGCGAGCAGCAGAGGGCCAGGGACACGGGGCATGGGAGCTAGCGCTAAGAGCAGCAAAATCATCGCCACGCTTGCTACTGAACACGTGTGGTGTTGGGCTCTGACTGTATCTTGCGCACAGGATGATGCCGATCCGGACTGCAAGGATGTGGTAACCTCGCCATCGCCGCCACCGTCGACACTGCCATTGAGACCGCCGTGGCCTAGAACCCCACCGTCCCCTCGGCCACCGTCGTTGCCGTCAAAACCATCCCCACCGCCAAAACCATCCCCACCGCCAAAACCATCCCCACCGCCAAGGCCATCCCGACCACCGCCAAAGCCTCCTTTATCATCGTGGAGGGGTCGTCCATAAACGGCATCCGCTCATAATGACTTGCTCTTGTATATTTTGTCGAGAAGTCCTTTGCAAACCTGTCTCACGCACAGTACCCGATCCCGCGATGAACCAGAGCAGGCTGTGAACGGGGGGTGATCAGACAGATGGTGCATGGAGCCTATTGATAGCGGGTATGTCCTATATTAGCCTTCACGGCTTGCTGTACAGTCGCGTTCGAGGTGCCGGATAGAAACAGCGCGTCTATGGATGCACGGCCCGGTACGGCACGGTGTGCCTGGCCGCTTATGTTAAGCATATAGACCTTCAGGACGCACCGCAAAAAAAACGGACGTCAGCTCGCCAGCACGACCAGAGCTCCAAATATCAGCCGATTGAAGCCAAGGTATGCAGCCAAACTCACTCATCGGTTGCATGGTGAACAACACCCCGGGTGTGTGCGTGTGCGTACACCGCGTTTGTTGTTGTGCGCGTGCACGTGCGCGTTCCTGCTTGCTTGCCGCGGGGCATGACGAGACTGCGTGTATCCCTTCATATCAGCTCATTTGTACGGGAGGCAAGCATGTCGGTTGCCAGTGGCTGCGTATGGTGGCCACTGCCTTAGGCGGCTGTATGTATGTTGTTACAGGGTGGTTAACTTCGCCAGCGGCCCCCTTTCCCGGGGCAGTCCCTGCTCTCCCCTGCTAGAGGGGCACCCTAATCCGTCACCCCATCCGACTTCAGAGTGTATTCGTTGGGTTCGGCAACTCACCACCAGCATCCAACCAAATCTAGCGGATCAACGGCGCATCAACTTAGTTCCTGGTCAGCTCGCAAGTTGATATTATCACGTCCTACACCGTCCATATGATGGGGGGCCACCTCCCATTTCATCACTCCTCAAACACCCGAGGAGCTGGCAGGCGGATTTGAACCCGGGTCGACTGGGTCGACTGGGAGCAGAAGTCAGGCCTTAACTTCTGCCAGCCGCCTGCCATGTATGTATGTAAGCCAAAACGACAGTTTTTCTCCTGCACGAAGCGCTCAGCATATCGACGGTTCGCTTCAGCGCAATGCATGCTCATCAGGCAATCCGGACTTGTTGTGAGCTTCGTTCCTCGTGCCTTGTCAGCTTTGTCGGCTGACCACCGGCTACAGATCTCGACTACAGGCTGTTTTGGCTGTACGTGTGCAAAAACGGCTTTGGTTTAACCACGTCCCCGAGCCGGCAATGGCTGTCGCGCGGGTTTAGAGGGTGACGTCCACGCTTGGCAAGGCTGCGCTGTACACATACAGAGGCAAATCGTTTCCTTGCGGCTTAAAACTTGAGAGTTCCTTTCCGGAAATCCCGTTGGATCATCAGAACGACCCAAAAATGCGGTCTCCTCCTAAACGCATTCAAGCACATGTACGCAAAGCATGTACCTTCCCTTTTCCTTCAAGGCGCCCATAGGCATATCACGGACTGCTACTTGCCCGTGAAAACCACTCCTCACAATTACCACTTAAGCCTCGTCTCCGATATTGAATAAACCCCCCACTGTACCGCACCCCCATTCCAGTGATACTCTACATCGCCCTACCCGTCTGGTTCTCGTCTTATGCTGCTCCTCACATATCCCCTTTTCCCCCTTTTTCGAGAAAACATCTCTTCATGTTACCAGCTTTTCGCCTTCTTCCCCTTTCCCCTTTCCCCCCCTCTCTTGGGGTAAGGCCCGCCAGTCCCTCGAGGAGTGATTAGCAGATCGTTTCAAGTCACACAAAGTTCTCTTTAAATATTATATCTTTAACACTATTGGGATATTGGTATTGCAAGCGGAGAAAGTAGTAAAGCCCAGAAAGCCTTCCGTCAGCCCTTCCTACCTGCCTCATCACACGAACTGAGGAGCAGAGCAGCAGACCTCCTTTCCCGTACACAATGACTGCCACAGTGCCTATCCAGCCTGGTCAACCAGCGGGTGCTTTACTCCGTTTTCCCCCGCCCCCCGCAACCTTACACAACGTCGTAAAGGGCAGCAAAGGAAAAGGTTCTCGCCACCAAGCACCAGCGCGCCTGCAAGCCGGACAGCCGCACCCATCGCACCCAACTGGAGTCGCTCTACCTCCTCTGCACACCACCGGCAGCAGCAGCAGACTGCTAATAAGAGGCAAGGCAATATCTTCCAGGCCAAGGCCAGCTGGGCACGGTGATGCCGTGTGGTATGGGCCTGGTAAGCAGCGTCCAGTGGTTCGCGGCCGCTGTGTGGAAGGACACCGACACAACAAAAGCAGCACCTACCCCACCTGACCGGCATCATCGCTTGTGCCCTGACTTGCCAACAGGCTGCGGCGGCTGCTGTTGCTTACGTGCCAGGTACCTGGCTCGGGCTGCATCCACGGCCTTGTCATCGTTGCGCCGCGCCTCCGGGCCCTCCTGGGGTCCCCCTGCTCCCCCCCGGTCGCCACCACCCCCACCATCCCCACCCCCGGGTGAACGCGGCTGCCCCGAACCAGCAGCTCCCCCCAACCCCCGGCTGGAGCCCTGACTCAGCCGCCGTACATCCGCGGACATAATCTTGGGAAGCACGTCCGCCACCCACTCAGCACGCGAGGGGCATACCTGCGCGCGAATGCGCGTGTGTGCGTAAGCATCGTCAGGTCAGGTCAGGGATGAGGTGGGGTGCGGCGAGGTGAGGTGAGGTCCACGGGCAACATCCCCAAGGTGCCACGCAGAGCAGCGCCTAACTTGGCAACCACCCCACCGACCCCTCTGATTACGACCTCCCTTGCTACCTCTCCAAAACCCGCTCGTGCAGCTACACGCACATTACAACACACCTCATCAACGCGGCAACTGGGGGCGTCAACGCGGCTGCTGGAGCTCCCCTAACGAAAAAAACAACCCGCTCACGCCGGGGTTCGTCCCCCACTGCGTCTTTCCTTTAATCCTCTCTCCTTTCCGCTCGGCCAGCCAATCAGCGAGGCAGTGAACCAGGCAGGCTGGCAGGCCCCCTCCCCTCCCCTCCCCTTCCCTCCCCTCCCCTTCCCTCCCCCCCTGACCTCCCCCCACCTGTCTGAGGAAGGGTCTAGAGGTGGCCACCAGCTCGTGGTACACGAGGAACTCGGGCAGCAGCCCGTCGGCGTCCTCCCGCAGCTGGGCGCAGCTGGGGTGCAGCTGGGCGAGCTGGCCGCTCACCGCGTGCAAGGTCTTGTAGCCGTTGTGGCGGGGGAGACGCCGGGCGAGCCTGGAGGTGGGAGTTGGGTGACGGGGAGGGTTTACGGGAGGGTGGGGGAATCTGGCGATACACGTGTCAAGGGGAGGGAACTACCGAAAAGGTCCAACACGCCCAAACTGCCGGCGTCCGAAGCAGGGAAGCAACTGTGTCCCCATGGGGAGGAAGAGCGAAAAAGGGAGGGGCCACAGAGGGGGGCGCCCAGCTGCATGATGAGGATGAGCAGAGGGGAGGGCCTGCCCGTACTTACTTTCACTGCTACTCACCAACATACTAAGCCTGAAAATGCTAAGACACTTCGTTGGACATTCGCAATAACAAGCTAAGATATGTCGAAACCATGCTTGGCCTGTAGCTAAGTCGTTATGTACGACAGTACGATACGTACAAGTACGAATATTCATTTGTTGATGTGATGGTGTGTAGATGTGTTGATGTGTTGATGTGATGGTGTATTGATATGCTGATATGCTGATGTGCTGATGTGTTGATATGTTGATGTGATATGTGATATGTGTTGATGAAGCCGCTGGTCGATAGGCAGGGCGTGTTGGAAGGGGCATGTAAGCGTGCCAGCACATGGCGCGTGCGCTTGTATTTCTGTATAGAACTAAGCTCTCTCAGTTGCTGTGTTGGAATGTCGGAATCCCCAAGATCCACACAAGTCCCCACCAGTCCCCCCACCTCAACCCCGCGAGCTCTCACTTGTTGGCGAACCCAATGGTCAGGACGTGCCGCAGGGCGTCCACCTGCGCTGCACTCGCCCGGGCCGCCCCAGGAGCCGTTCCCCCACCCCAGCGGCACTGGGGGGAAGACGGCCGCTGCTGCCGCCCGCTGCTGCCGCCCGCCGGGCCACCGGAACGTGCTGCCAGGCGGCTGCGCGCCTCCTCCTCGTCTTCGCCCTCGCCCTTGCTCCCACACGCGCCGCCGTCTTCCGCTGCCTCCCGAGCCCGCTTGCGCCTGTCGCCACCGCCACCAGCGCCGCCACCAGCGCCGCCACCAGCGCCGCTTCCTAGCTTGTCGAGCCCGCTGCCGTCCGGGCCCGCGATGGCTAGGACATACAGACGTACACATGCAGGTGCGCATGGTGAGCATGTCAGCTTCTCGACATATACACAGTCTCTGGCGGCGATATGACTCCTCTACAACTTCCCCAACCGGCTCCCCTCTCCCCCCCCACTCACAACCCCACTCACACTCCAGCTGTCGGCGAATGTCGCGGGCGAAGTTGAGCCCCCTCAGGTCCAGTCCGTACTCCCGGGCGAACTCCCTGCTACAGCCCGCCGCCTCCCAGCCCTCCCACAGCCGCAGCAGCAGCACGTGGTCCCCAAGTCCCTCCGTCATCAGGTCGCGCAGCCTCTCCCGGGCAGCTCGCACGTGGGGGGCGTCGGAGGGCCTGAGTGGATAAGAGGGTGTGGAGTGAGGGGGAGCATGGGGGGGGGATGGGGAGGGTGAGGCGGCGGCCGCGGAAGGGGGAGGGGTAGACACGTGACACAAAAGCCAAAACGAGAAATTGTTGACAGGGCGAGTCTGAGGCACCAAAACTGTCCAAAACAGAGAACAGCTCACGCAGCAGTAGCAGCAGCAGCAGCAGCAGCAGCAGCGGAGGGTCTCACCCTGGCGGTGATCCACAACAGCGGCGGCGGCGGCAGCGGAGGTGGTGGCAGGTAGTGGTTCTCACGGTAACGGGAGTTGTCCGTTGTCAATTGGGAGTTAACCGTTGTGGTTTGGGTGTTCCCCTTTTCCCCCCCAAAAAACTCACACTCGCACACATGCACTTTCCCTCTCTCTCTCTCTCTCTCTCTCTCTCTCTCTCTCTCACTCACTCACACACACACACACACACACGCGCGCGCGCTTGTGTCTTCGAGTCCCGCCATTGTGATGACTTTCCTATCCTAGGGGTCCCCGCAGTGCTTTGGAGATGGGAGATGGGGCTGGTCTTAGCGCGCCATGGCCGTGGCCCCTGGCTGGCCATTGAGTTTTACACCGGGGACATGTCGTTAGCATGTTAAGCGCCCTGCTGCAGCATGAGGATCAGATCACGGGGAGGGCAGCTGGCCGAGAGCGTCTCTTGATGCTGGCCGCTGACTGGCTGTGGTCTCCTGGCGCAGCGTTTGAGGCTGTGGGCCTTCCCGTTCTGGGCAACAGCCCCTGGCAGCGACATGCACAATACACGATATATGTAATCAAGATACACAGACACACACATAGACAGGGTTCAATGTGCCCTCGGGGGTGGCCATCCTGCTTGTCATCGTATCGCATGCGCTGTGGTAGCAGCAAGGCCCTCCGCTTTGTCCGCTAGAGCTTAGGATAGTTAAATATGTTTTTAGGTTCTACCTGGTTGGGACTCGTTGTCCGTAGCCAGTAGTCCGTTAGCTTTTCTAGCCGCCCCGCACCTCGCCGCCCTCCGCCCCACTCTACAGCGCCCCCTCCGCCCCATATTTCTACCCGGGGCTCTGGACGACGTCACTCCTCCAATCTAACACGTCGCTGGTGACTGACTATTCGGAGCTCGCTTCGGTACGACAAGGTATCCTCAGGTGCACCGCCATATTCGCCATCTATCATCTCGCGGCTCCGAAGATTACTAAAACAGAGACACTATACCTTTCACACATGCATACTTGCTATACGGTACGGTGGCCGAGCGGTCTAAGGCGTAGGATTTAGGCTCCTATCCGAAAGGGCACAGGTTCTAATCCTGTCCGTATCATTCTTCACATTCCTACTATGAAAGTGGCTGGCAGAAGTTAATTCCATACTTCTGCTCTCAGAGGTACCGTGTTCAAATCCTCCTATCATCCTCTCGGTGTGGGAGAGGTGTGGGTAGTCCTATCTTATGAACCTTGTAGGACGTGATAATATCAACTTGCGAGCTGACCAGGAACTAAGTTGAGGCGCCGTTGATCCGCTAGATTTGGTTGGATGCTGGTGGTGAGTTGCTGAACCCAACGAATACATTCTGAAGTCGGACGGGGAGAACGGATTAGAGTGCCCCTCTAGCAGGGGAGAGCAGGGAACTGCCTCGGGAAAGGGGGGCGCTGGTGAAGCTGTACCACGCTGTAACAACATACCTGCGGCTGTCCTGCCCATGCGGGTGGTCCCCTGCTGCCACATCCCCGGGCCCTTGGCCCGCCAGGAACACATGCTCGGATGAGAGCATGGCCGCAACGCTGATCATCTCCCGAACGCATCTGTACACCGGGGGGTTGGATGGGTGGTGGCGGGTTGGCTGTGTGTGGGCCTGTGTTATATTATAAAACGATTAACACTATTATGATGACAACAGGTGATATTCATGATGGTAAACATCCTCTCCCCTCCCCGCCCATGTCCTAGTCCAAGCAGCCCAAGAAGCGCCGGGCGGGAGAAGAAAGCCGCCCCGCCCCGCCCCTCCCCCCCCGCCCCTGCCTCCCCTCCCCCTCTCCCGCCCCGCCCCCCAACCCCCCTCCGCCGCTCACCCCAGTTCCCTGGCCGCCAGCAGTGCCCGGGCCAGTGCCGGCTCCAGAGGCAGCCCCGACATCCGGAGGCCCAGAGGGGTGACATTGCCGTCACTGTCCAGGGCGTCAAGGACCAGCAGCTGCCGCAGAGCGTCCTGGACGGAAAGCGAGAGGGGGAGCGGGAGGGGGAGGGGGAGCGGGAGGGGGAGCAGGAGGGGCGGAGGTGACGCGCTGGGAAGGTGTAAGGGTCTCTTTACCCTTACATGGGGTTGGTATGGGCGTGGATGGGCGGCACGGCAACGGAACTTTATTTGTCTGTACATATCTTTTACTCACACTTGTCTGTGCGGCGGCGGGACATACACACATACACACGGAGAGAAGAGGTGCACCAACCGGCGCAGCGCATCTGTCACTAAGACTTTCACAGCTCGGCTCGCTTTCCCCTTGAACGGCATGTACGGCACGGCACCGCACAGTCGCAGCAGCACACCATGGCACACACACCATTCATACAACACCCCTCACCGCAGCAGCACGCACCCAGCAGCAGGCACCCTAAGAGTGCAGCGGACTGCAGCACAGCGCCCCCCTCCCCTCCCTCCCCACCTCCCTCCCCACCTCCAGCGCCCCCCTCCCCTCCCCCCTTCCCCTCCCCACCTCCAGCGCCCCAACCGCAGGGGGGTCCAGGAAGTCGAAGTTGAGCACATCTACCTCCAGCTGCAGCGACTTGAGGTACAGCACCGTCCCCACAAGAGAGGACCGCTGGATCTCTGATTCAAAGATAGGTAAGTAGATAGATGGATAGATAGATAGATAGATAGCACCAGGTGCGCCAACGGTAGCAGTTGAGGTGGGCAGGGCGAGGGTGGGCAGGGAAATGGTTAGATGCCTCGCATGTTGCGGGAAGTAGAGGGGAAGTAGGGAGAGGGGCTGCCAACGACGTCCAAACGGCTAGGTAAGTATGTACAGCCCACCTCTTGGCCTACTACACCGCGACCAGCCGCAGTGACACACCGGGGACAGCGAAAGGAGCTGTGGGGGGCTAAAGGAGGAGGGGAGGAGGAGGGGGAGGGGAGGAGGCTCCTCGGCCCCCTCGCTGTCCTAGTGTCACTGCTGGCCCCACGGGCAGCTGGGTCGTGAAGAGGGAAATAATCCACCATACTTGACTACTTGACTACAAAACAGAAGTCAAGTTCAAAACCGGGACCAGCCGGTCCGCCCGTCTTACCCACTACCGTCTAACTGTTGTCCCTCCCCCCGCCACACCGCCACACCGCCGCTCCCGCAGTCCCCCATCCCCGCCACCACCCACCGGGGGCGGTCACATTGGGCATCTTGTGCTCGTAATAGGTCCGGGTGTACAGCCGGAAGCACTACTTGGTTCGGGTGAAGGGGAGGGGGAGGGGAGGGGCTTTGGCAAAGCGCTGCCTAGGGCAGAGCCAGTGAGACAGGTAAACCTACAGACCGACAGACACAAACAGAAAGACAGGCAGAATGACGAGGACCAGAGGCTCACCACTCACCGCTCACCCTCACCCTCACGGCCCACCCCCTTCATCGCTCACCTTGCCCGGCTTGGTCCTGCCCGCCCTGCCCGCCCTCTGCGTGGCCTGCACCCGGGATATCGCCACCACGTCTAGACTGTCCATTCCGGATGCGGGCTGGTAGCTCTTCTGCTTCACCACTCCCGGGTCCACCACGTAGACAACGCCCTCCACTGGGGGGCAGGGGGGAGCAGGGGGGAGGTGAGAACTTCTGGGGGTGTCTGTATGTCGGTGTGTTTGTCGGCATGTGTGTGTGTGTGCGTGTGTCGAAAAGCAGTGGAAACACACAATAACTAAGAAACAAAGGAGCAGCAGCAGCGGCGGCAGAGGGGTATCGTGGATCCCTTCCGTCCGTCCGTCCGTCCGTCCGTCCGTCTGTTCCGTCTGTCTGTCTGTCAGCCGCGCCTACCTGTGATGGACGTCTCTGCCACATTGGTCGCCACAATACACCTCCGGGTGCCCTCGGGAGCGGGGCGAAACACACGGACCTGGCGGGCGGGTGGGGGAGGGGGGAGGAGGCCGGGGGGGAGTACAAGTGGGGGGCCAGGGCACCGCAACACGACCACCCGCGCAGTGTGCGCGTGTGTGTATGTATGCAAGTAAGCAAGTAAGTATGTATGTATTTGTATGTGTATTTGTATGTGTACTTGTATGTGTACTTGTATGTATTGTGCGTATGTATGTACGCTGTGCTTTAGGTGGGTGCGGAAAGAGAAAACGAGATAGGGAGCGCAAGGAGTGAGATGACGTCGGCCAGGGTACCAATTGGGTTGCGGCTGTATAGAGGAGGGAGAGGAGGGAAAGCGAGAAGGACTTGCACGCCACCACCACTGCCACCACCTTTCGCAACGTTCCTTGCCCCCCCCCCCCCCTTACGACACCTGCAGCTCCGGCGGCAGACTGGCATACAGCGGCAGCACCACCAGCGGCCCCGCACTGCCGGCCGGCAAGGAGGCCACCGCCTGGTGGATGCGGCCGATGGCCTTCTCGATCTCCGCCTGCCCCGTCAGGAACATCAGGATATCGCCTGGGGGTTGGGGGGAGAGGGAGGGGTGGGGGGGTGGGGGGGGGTTTGCCGGCCCCCAATGAG